GTGGAAGTGAAATCGCTGTCTACAATGACTTGTATCATCACAATTAACAATTTGATGTCCGGAGGTTCTAAAGAGCACATTTAGGCTAAAAATAGAACAAAAAATTTAATCTGAGCAAAGACAAGTTATATAGAATGAGGACGCCTGATTGAATTCAATTAATTCCCCACGCCTTATCCATCGTTGGTCTTCTCCCCGCGTTAAATGTTGAATATCGATTGTCCCAGCCACTTTGTGTTCATCTTTGAGGATTACGTGGCTAGAACCAATGCCGCTACACCCTTTTGAACCCTTGTTCCAACGTTTGTCATTGTTGACCTTCTCTTAGCTTTACATGTTGGAAGTGGATCTTTTTGATAATTCAGTGATTAGGGACCAATAACACCACAGACCCTTATTTCCTAACTTATAAGTATCTCGTTGGTTATTTTTCTGCGAAACTGTCATAAGACAGCAATAAGTTTCTTAATACCTTCCTGTTACTTTCTATAGAGTCATACATAATCATCGTAACCTGTTCCGTTAGATTGACGGTCAGATAGCCTAGACTTCCGGAGAGAAACAACATGATGACTTATGCTTTGTCTACCTCAATTTAACAGATATGACAGCTAGAATACTTGGTAGATGTAATACGATCCGCTTTCTAAAATGGGAAATATTTAATGACCTGCATGAAATACTCATGATCCTCAAACAAACTTATTCTATGAACATGTGTTAGTTCTTATCCAATGTTTACGCGTCGACCTTGAGCGTCTTTTTGTATGAGCTTCCTATCTTCATATATAACTTAATCGAATGCCTACCTACACACTGTACCTCAAACTAGTTACTATCATTATTATTCACAAACATTTTATGGGTACATAAGTGCTGTGAAGAAAGCATTTCGGGTTTCGTTACAGTTTAATTATGTTAGTATTAAACTTGCCGTACTTGAAATAAAGAGGAATTAATAAGAGAATGGAGTAATAATAATAAATCAGGTTCTGTATAATTGAGAAGAATATTGAGTTGACTTCAAATAAGGAAAGGGCGAAATACACAAATAGTTTAATAAGCCTGGTAATGAACACGACTATGTATGTATCGCCAACTGAGTAACAAAAATAAGATAGAATAAGTAAATATGAGAAATAACTTGTTAATACAGTAAGATATGACGTCAGAATAAGTGTTTGTGTAGTCATAGTTTGAAGTGATGCTATAAAAGTCTCGATTAAGTGCTAAGGACAACCAAATATCAATATGTATGAGTCATATATGCATAGTGAAGACTGAAAGAGTTTGAGAAATTAATTTAAGTGTAACACAAGTTATTGTCTCAATTACAAACTTCGAAATCTTATAAATATTATTTATTTAGAAAGAGAAAAGGGATAGAAAAGAAATGAAAACCTCGTGAGTGTGTTCGATCATGGTAATAAGAAAGTGATGAATATCGACTTCTGAAGCAAACCATTAATTTTGTTAGTTTTTTAGTGCACTCGGAAGAATATATGTAAAATTATGTGATAGAACTCAGAGTTAAACTTGATACTTATATGAATATTCGTGCAATAACAATTAGGAATGATGGTATGAATGTCACAGTTAATTGCAAGGGATAATCAAATATAAAGTTCTGTTTTATATATATGAGGTGAAGATTATATGAATCTGAGTACTTGATTTACTTAAGTATAACATAAGATGCTTTATTTTTAGTTATAGATTTTGGATGTTTGAGAATAAAATATGTTTAAAAGGGAAAGAAGAGGCGAAAAATATCTACTGTGTCGAGTTACCAACAATGATAATCAATTAAAAAAGAACAGTGTATTCGTCAAGATGTGCCAGCTATTTAATAGTCAGGCTTATGCGTCAGTGTTGCACGATCAGTACAGACTTTATAATGTTTCAGAACTGGTGTCGCGTTCATTTTGTGAATTCGGTAAACGCACAGCAGGTTCAAACTTGACGTTAGTGTGTTAGAATTGTGGTAGTACTATGTTTTTATGCAATACAAGTATCGACGATGTTTAAAGATATAATAAGGTCACCATTAAGGCGCTTGATATGTGCTGTGACCTTAAAAGACATATACATTAAGTTCTTTTAACTTTATTCCTGGAGTAAGAAGCTCCATAACTGTACACTGAGAACGCGACGCTAAAAAATAACAAAACATGGGAAATATAAGGGGCACGGTATTTAGATATAAACTCTTAATAATGCTCAACAATTTGTAATGGAACAGACAATCATATGTAAATTGGTAGATAGAAATAAAACAGGCTGCCGTTACTAGATTGAAATATGATCAAGTCTTGATATTAGAGAGTACGGTCATAAATAGCAGTGAGTTTTGATGTGTTATAAAATGGAATGGTTTCAAATAATAGAGGCAATTTCGAGGTTGATCAGAAAGGCTATTTTTTAAAATGGAAAGAGAACCAAAAGACAATGAAGTGCTAAGGAACGCTAACAACTACGCCTTTTACGATGATATTTTTTTACTTTCACTTTTTATCTAATATCAGTCACTGGGGCATAATATGAAAGCCTGACTTAGAGTGTCATAGGTAATTATAGTGAGGTGGAAAATCCAGCACAAGATTGAGAACATAAGTATGAGTTGCGAGAATAAGAGAACAACGATAGTATCACTGATTGATTGGCTCGTCCTTGGTCGTAAAAGGCCTGAAACAAGCGGAATTTTCAACTCTGAAATCATTAGTAGATTAAAGTTATCGCCCTAACCATCGACGCTTGCTTGTTAGCAACTCAATGGACCACCCTTAATTAGAATAAGTAGACTAATGTGTCAAATTCGTGCTACGTCTGCTTGCCCGTCGCTCATATACTTGTGTTTTTAGTTGCTTGTGTAAATAGAACGCATCGTCAATACATTTCGCGGTCCACTTTTTCCATCCAACATTATATTTACGTGACATATTAGTGGTTATTTGGATACGAGATACCCAGACAGTAAACTGAAATCAGTTGTAGTGCTATGAAAGTGATGATAGAGTTAATCCTAAAGAATGGCTTGACTACATCACTTTTGTCCACGAATGACATCCATCATTGACCGCTTTTAGTGGAAACAAGTTCTTAAAGTCTGGCCAATTATTATTCAATTGAATCCCAAATGATGGGCATCGATACTTACCGAAATCTTTATCTCACTAGACCTTAAGATTTTCTGCACACAGAAAGCATTGGATTGATCATTGATAACCACTAAGAAAACTGGCCCAATGAAGTAACATTGTGTTGATCTACTCAAACATTCATAAATGTGCAGGTTCAGACTGAATGTTACAGTAGGTACTCCGAGTAGTTAACTTACCATGAACTGGTATTGTGAATATCGTTTGTTAGTATTTTTCACATAATTGTATTACCGTAGCTTTGAACTTGGTTTGGACGCAATTTTAACCCCGAATGTTTGTTTGAAAACCAACTTTGGTCTGTTATCTTGCATTTTTGCCCTCGATACCTACAAATCAAAGATGTATATTGGGAATTACTATTATAATTACTTTTTAGAACTACACACCGATAATACTCAATTTATGAGTAAAACATAAATATTTTGAACTTAAATATTTAGACTGAAAGATAGCAGTTATCAGTCAACCTTTTTTCAAGGACTGACAAAAGTGGAAATTTCAGGTGCAAAAATGAACTTCTGTTGTGGCGTTCAACTCTATAGCTCTTGTTTCTCCAGCGAGCATGTGTTAAATTCAAAAGTCAGTAATCCTGCAGTTAATTATGGGGATTTGTGTGATATTAGTAATCCTGAACACCCACTAGATTGTAAAATGTTCACAATATTAGTTGTGATTCCATCATAACTAATTCTACTACTATATTCACGTGAAATCTGTACAACTATAATCTGAGTAAAAAATCTTAGGTGAAAGGGATGTATGAGTGTTAAGTCTAATTGAGTTCAAAAGATAATCTTCAATTTGCACAACTTAACTGCTGAAAACATAAAGCGGTCAAAAAGTATGTCTGTTAGACTACCTGGTAAACTGAACATCATTATTTAGTTTCTGATTATATTAGAAAGTGTGAAGCTGTTGCCTTTGGAGAAGGGATAAAATTATCTCGACCGCTTCTCTGAAACCTTGTATAAATAAATGATTCGGGCTTTGCCATGTGAACTAGATGTGCCTGTATGTTTGATCGTAAAGAAATGTTGATTATAGGTACTTTTAGTTTAATAATCTGAGGTCACTGCCATCCCACTACCGAGCTTAACTATTTAGATTCCTGGTCACCGTTGATTAACTTATGAAATTGATGTCTTCACAACTGATCATTCGGGTCAAAATAAGTAACTAGTCCTTTCATAGTACGAAGTATAATCGTGAGATTCCAGAGAGATATGCTCTGAATTTGTAGCGGCTGGTACTAGTCTAAGCCCACGTGGGTTATTCGAGCTTCTGGACAGATCAATCTACTCATTCTTTTCAAGTCACATTTTTACTCTGTCGCTTATTCTCTTATCAACCGTGTGTGTGGACTTCTTATCGGACTCATTACACGTTTGTAACTTATTTGTGGCTTATGCATAACGTTTCACGAGCGCATGCAAGCGTTCGGAACTGTTTCTAGATATCAGTAAGCCAGAGGAGAGAAAAAACTGTTTAAAATTACGACTAGGCTGCAGCTCATTTATTTTATTCAGTAAACTCGCGGCGTTCATATGTAAACACTTTATACCTTCAGTTTGAAACGTGTGAGCCTCCAAGTCCTGTTTATCCGTATGGGCCTTATGCGAATAGACAGGTAATCTACCTACACAGGGTTTTCCAAGTTGTTACCCCCTTCCCTTTCTACGATGTTCGCATGGTCTTTACAGTCTATGAGTGGAATAGTCCTCTCTAATTCATTTTTATGCTTAATCCTTGCATCACGCCACCTATACGAATGCATAAGGAACCGACGTCTGTTGACACGCAATACTTAAGAAGTTGCAGCCACCATTTTAACTATTGGATATTGAATGACCTTAGGTTTAAAGCGGCTCGCGCGCGGAGTAGTTGGGAACATTTTAATCAGGATGGAGTCACCTCAAGTTGCGGAAAGTGATGGTTCTCTAGACAAAGTGGACGATAGTCATAGCGAATCTCCTCATAAAGAACGTAAGTTTGAAAGCCGAGTATTTTGTTCACGTTCGCTGGTGGTAGCATGAATGTTCTCAGTTTAAAATGATAAGTATAATCTAAGCAGTAAGAATGTTCTTTCCGGTTCGTATGATATTTTTGTATTTACTTACCTGTCACTAGTGACGGTTTCATACTTTGATATCCAGGACCACGTCATTTTATCGTGGCCTTGTTATTTCTTACCTAATCAGTCTAGTTCCTGAAGATATTGTAACATCAGTATGGTTCAGCGTATTAGACGGAACAGTGAGTTAAATAATCGCACGGTAGTTTGAGTGTGTGCATCAAATTTGTTTAAACCTATCTTGTATATTCCCGATTTCTAGAGCTTCACAGGTAATCACGGTGAGACTGTAATTTGTGAACGACCTTTGAGAGACGTTGAAGTGGCCTTGGGAATGTCCACCTAATATCCAGAACCAAATGAGAGTTATGAACCTGTGTGAAGAAAAGGAGTTATAATTTACAGTTGATGGTTTGGATTAGGAATATTTAAAGTTTTCATCACGAACTGACATCAGCGAAAGTCCCCAAACGCTTTTTATCCAAGTGGATGGGAGAATTTCGCGCCAAAATCCAATACATATCCTAAACCGGATTGGTTCGTCCATAAATTATAGTCACTAATGGACTTTAATTTTCGTAGTCTCTATAATGTGTCGTTCTAAAATTGGTTTTTCCTCATGAATGTAATTGATCGTTAGATGTAAAAATGCCCAAAACACTAAGAATTGTGTAGCGTTGATGTGCTTCTTCCTAGGTGAATCTCGCCGAGTTACTGACTATCTCGATAAGACGAAATTACATTTTAAAGAAACTAGCTCACGAAGATTTGTAACTATCATATTTACTTTCATTTGTGGAAATGCCAATAAGTTGTCCAATTAGATATGTCTAAATGTAACTTATTACCACTCGGATACTTTCCATATTCTACTTTTGTATATCTCCAGAGTCCATCCTTGCAATATGGCAAACAACTACAGGTATACACTTCGCCCTATTTTATGGATTTCTGGTAGGGTAGCCTGAAGTTTGCAAAACTAATACAGCAGAGGCTACCTATTAAAATATCATGTGATTGGCATTAAGCTGCTACTCTTTAGACCTAACCCTCTCACTTTTAGGTTGACATGACATTCACTTAATCTGGTTTCTTTTCTTGGTTTTAAGAATAAATACGTCTCCATAGCATCATATGGAAAAAAACAATCACAACAATCAAGTTAATCCTATTCACAGTCAGATTTTCAGCTCAACACATATTTTTCATGTTTGTTATCATTCCTCTTGCATCATTTTTGCGCATACCACCCATGTTTCTGACCTTTTTATTTCAGAACCACTTAGGAATACGTACTGAAGCTGTTAGTAGTAAACATCAAGACTGTAGACTCTCATTCCGCTGATCTATACTGTGCTGAAACCCACATCCAGAATTATCTAACTACCTATTCAATGTAGATAACCAGCACTATCTACCTTTCTAGTATCTGGTTATCCCCTATAGTTACTTCTGGTTCCTCGGACGCAGGCGTGTCACCGAGTTTGAAAGTGTAACAAGCATTCATGGCTGAATTTCAGTTGGACTTATACATTGTCCAGCTATGTGGTACAGTGGTCAGTCAGCAACAACGTAGAACTTCGTACGTACGTACATAAGTTCAAGTTGCCATACCACATTTTCACAGAGATACAATTGGCGATTCAAATCCCATAGTGGTAGGGGTAGTCAAAGTATAAGTAGTAATCGGAAAGATTAAGATTTGACGATGTTATTTAAGGAATATAATCCAGTGGTACAGTAAAAACTTGGAGAAATAGGAATACACGCTGTTACGTGTTCGTAGTCTCTATCTACATCCCTGTTGGCTAACACCACCCTCAAGAACGTTGGGTACTCATCCCTGGTTAAAAACGTTGAGTAAAATAGCTCAAATTAGGTCCCAATAACACAAATACTATGATCTTTCGTTTTTTAAATCCTAAGTGTAGATATCATCTCACTTTATTTATCTCCTCCCCATTTCACTCTTTCAAAACTATATTTGCCTTATTCAGTCTTCCCTTCTGTAATGTCGAAATGTTGTAGCGCTTCGCTTGGTATATATGAACTGATCCTTATGAACTATTTTAATTAGCCGATCAATGGATTACCTGTTGACATCCGTTCGTGTGGACATACTTTGTCGATTCATAGAACTATTTTGAGAGTGTCCCCCTTGGTCACTACCACTGGTGTTTCCAATCCAATACATTTTCATATCCCTACATATCACCATAAGTCATTGTCTATTTTTCTATTTCGTTCATTTCCAAGCCTTGTGGTTTGATTGTGAAGCCTTCGTTGTCTTTTTAGACAATATCACAAGTAAAAACCTTAAATAGAAAGTCTTTTAGAATCTTCATAACCAAAAAATTCGTTTTGTCGCATTACATAAAACAAACTGTCTGTTCGGATAAACATTAATTATCTATCAAATACGACGACATAAAGAATACAACGAAAACCAAATTTTTTTAAAAGTGTAGTACTTATGTCAATCAACAATCAATAGATATATAAATTAACCCATTTTATCGGTCACTTAGATAAATGATGAGCAACTATAATCTCAAGAATCAGGTTCGTGAGGAAAGCAATCATAATAAATGTGCATCCGATGATAAGACAGATGAAAGCAACCAACTAAGTTTAATGTTAACAAAATATGTTAGCTATATATTTGGATATCCTAATTGGTGTTTTCTGTTTGAAGTTTGAACCGGTGATATCGTATGGAAGAATAATGAAAGCCTTACGATTAAAGCACCTAGTTCAGTAAACTCTACTCATAACATTTTATCTAGTCTTTTATTTTTTAATTTGTTTCGGAACATGATGGGTCGAAATGGCACACTTTTTTCAAAGACTCCTCGTCTATTTACCTGCTAGTAAGTTAACCTCATTTTCAAATAGTCTTGCGGTAAAAAACTTGAAGTGGGAAACCGTAAGTTCAAATTAGCATAAGCATTATTTTATCCATATTGTAACCGACTATTCAAGACAGGCTCTTCTCATTTTATTTTAAGATACTTCATCACGTTTCCTTCTGATTTCACATACTTCATGCCATATGATGCGTCTTATTCTTCTCTTGTTCACAATTTGATTTATATTATCCGGAGAAGGTATCTCAGTCTCTGAAGAAGAGGTTAAACAGCTCGAACCCATAAATGGACATGAAGCTGATACTGGTGAGAAAAGACAACGTAAGAAGGTTCAGAGATTATCTGAAACATGGAATCGAGCCCATGAGGCCAAGGAAGAGGAACGGATCAAAGCAGTCCAAGCAGTCTCAGCAGCATTTGAGGGGGCTACAGGAACGGCACTCGGTGAGATCCCACTCATTGAAGCTTCCATACGAAAAGCAAAACCTGCTAGCCTCAAATCACTGCATTTAATAATATATGGTAGACCAGGCTCTGCAAGCAAAATACGTAGCAATCTACGCAAATTTCGAGGTTTCGGTTTCGAAATGGGTTCTGAACAGTACGAAAAAAAATCAACATATATCCAACAGTAAGCTAGCTATTTGCTTATTTCAGCCCTATGTTAGTTGTGTCTGTCGTCTCATAGTCAAGGTATTATTAGCGCTAGAAGTAGTGGGTTAATTCATCTAGGTAAATAGGAAAAAATATTGCACGTTTTTTTGAAATTTTCGATTTACTTAACCAACCGTACGAAATTTACTTATTCATTTTAAACACACAAAAATTGGTACAAGAAGGCACCAAACTGATGTGCGCCACATAAATCATTCGATTGGTGTGAGGGCTGGGATACTGCCTGCGTGCCCCTACGGAAGCAGGTGTTTTCTTAGGAGGCCAAACCCCGAGCCTTTGACACAAAGGTCCAATCCACAAAGCAGGGGAGCAACGTCAGGAGATGCAGTCCCATAGTAGCCGGTAACCAACACTAGGTTCATACGCCGTTTGTTTCCTCAGGATCCTAGAGCCCATGTGCACCAGTGGTTTGGAACCAGGGTTTTCCAACTCCCCTAGGTAGATCCTCCGTATCTATCAACCCGATTAAAGCACCGGACATTTGCTTTTCGTCTTCTCAATTTCGTAAACAACACCGCTACGAGAAGGCAGTGAGTAAGACTTCTCTAGCAGTGGTTGTATGCACGTGACCACCTGAGAACATTTCGAGAGGGAGACTTGACTCTCCCCACTCTCGACCGTACCAGGACTGCATTGTTGATATCTCAGCAGCCGTTGACATTGGTAACTGGAAATAAGCTCCTGTCGGTCAGAATCAATTGTAACGTAATAGTTTTATCAATATGTCTTTGCTATGGATCTTATTTTATTATCCTTTCTGCCAATTGGCATTCGGTATCGAAAATCATTCATTAAATAGACTAATAGTAATTCAAATATTTACCCAAAAGAAATTTGTTGCATGACGATGTAATTTTTCGTAATATATCATTAAAAAGTCTACATTTGGGATCAGACAATCATAAGATGCATTCCCATTTCATTTTCTTAAGCCGTATTCTAAGTATCCTAAAAACATTTGTTGAGTTCAAAAACTTCATTCCTTAGTAACCTATCTACAGCTCAGTGAATTTATTTACACTCATAAACAAGGGTCGTCAAGACTTTGGACATCCGTTTACACTACAAGAGCTCAAATTCTTACCTCTGGTTATCACAATTAGAAATGTTGCTATCAGGCTACCCCAGAAGTGACTGATTTTTTGTAAGACATCAAACAATATTCATTGCAAAATCAAATCATTTAGATTCACTGATACATTATGAGCCTGACTGATATATCGGGATCATCATCGAAAGCTAAAAAACATGGCACCACTTCCCACCCACATAGTAATATTAACTTATCTGGTAAAGCGACGTAGGTCTTGTAACTTTCAGTACATTCATTTTCGCTGAAGTTCTGGTTAGGTCTCTAAACATCCCTATATATATGAGAAGTTTAATGATTGTAAATATGTTTGTATTGATCTATCTTTTGGGGAGGAAAAACTTGTTTTATCATTTTACTGTGGGTTCTTTTTGACAGACGCCCTGCTTGTGATCTACGCGAAGTTCTCCGCATCTTAAACCTAGAAGTTACAGGTACTCGAGAACAGTTGGCCTCTCGCTTACTGGAATTCCTACTCAAACCAACCGCTAATTCTGTGAAATGTAAAGGAAAGATCGTTAAGAAATATAAACAAAAAAATAAATCTAAAGATATTACCTCTAAAAAATCGAAATCAAAACCATCGAAAAAGAACACTGTCTCAAATGAACCTAGCATAGATAATTCAAGTCAGCAGGATATTGATGAACCTGATGATATGTCGTCTGAATCTGAGAACTCAGAAAGTGATATATCAGATGCAGCTGAATCAATCGAAAAAAAGCAGCCACCAAAGAAACGTGCTTTAAGTCAACGACAAAAACAAAAACCTGTTAAACCTAGTATTAAACGAGCTAAAAAACATGAACTTAGTGATACAGAAGATGAAAATGATCATAAACATATTCCGACTAAAATGAAAAAAGAACTTGATTCTGATGAAGAAAATGTTCCTCTGTCTAATTTAACATCCACAAAAGTAACTACTCCCCCAACTGATTCTGAATTAAAGAAAAATATAATTGATCTACTTAAAACAGTTAATTTAGAAGAGACATCTCTTAAAGTTGTTCGAGAAAAGGTAATCAAAGTATAATGCGTTATTAAAACGGATCTTTTCTCCTTATATAACATCTATTGATATTTTGTTGTATCACGATATGCTTTCGCATTGGACGCTTACTTTTTTTGTTAGCTAGTAGCTTACAGTTTCAAACTTTATTTTTGGTAAATCGGTCATAAGCAATGTAGAACATAGGATATACGTGTACGTATCGGTTCAAGTTGCCATGCTATATCTGGACCATGAGATAAAATTACTGGGACACATTTCAGAGTAGTAGAAGTAACAGTGGAACCAGTGGTGGTAGGAAAACTGAGACATAAGCAATATGATTCAGGTTGAATGGATGATTTTGGGGAGTTATAAGTTTGAAATAACTCTCGAATTCAAAATCTAAAAGAAAATCAAAGGTGAATGCATTTGCATAGTTGCTATCAATTCTAAACCATACCATCCAAAGACTCCAGCAATTGATCACAATGTTCACGAGGAAACCAATCATCAGTAATTCTGTAGACTATTACCATATCTTGGTTTGGTCGTTCTCATACTTTATTTTTCACAAATCCATGGTTTAAGTTACTAAATACTAATTTGTTTAGTTTTGGGCATCTTATCCCTAACTTTCTGACTGTTTTATCAAGGTCTCCCACGAATAACTGGATCAAATATACAATATACCATTTTATGTCATCAAGATCCTGAGCGTTAACGAGGTCATCAAAATGAATATGTTGTAAAACAATGTAAACTTAAAAACAGACTGATAGATCTCAACTATTTTATGGCCAATATCTACTAGTCTATCAACATTCGTTTGCCTTCTCCGGAGCACTATTCAAGTAGCTATTACTTAGGTAGAAATAGTAGTTTTTTCTGCTTCCACGAAAAACAATGATATTTTACAATATGTTTTTTGACGTTTTGAATATGGCGTTAACTGCAGAAAAACAGTAAAAGACAATGTAAACAAAGGGAGTGGATTAAAGGTCACTATTGTAAGTACTTATTCTAGGCCTATGGGGTAATTTTGGAATAAAGTAGTAAGAATTCAAACTGGATAAATTTGAAACAATGTTTTTGACTTAATAACAGTTGTAAAAAATTTTCGACGGTCAACCTAACACTTTCAGTATCAAGGTTCAATTATACGAAAAATGGTTGGTGTATGAAACTAGTTTATGTAGTATAATTTGACTTAGAAATGATATAAACTGTACAAGGTGGTTGTTTGCATTTCTCGGATGTTTTTCGTCTTTAAGTATGATTGTTTTTTAATGCTTAGAACAAGTGTTTAGCGAACTTGATTCGAATAACCTCATTCATCATAAAATAAAACGGCCTTTTTTTGTAACAAAGGAGTTATGGTTTATTGTCGATCCTCTTGATAATGAAATTTTACTAATGGTTATTATAAATGTTAGTATAGAGCGTCGATTATTGTGTTCGTGTCCCGGGATCTATAACACACCGGTAAACGTTTATTGAAATGAATTTTTATTAGAATTTTATTTGTATATATGTGTTAATGTATCATTATACTAGTGTAAATAGTTATTGCATGTACATTTCAATAAATAACGGAAGATACAGTCATGAAAACATATTAGTGTGCATAACATTTATTGAAAATACTTCTAACATGTTCTCAATCCATTAACTATCACCGACTGGTTGAAAATAAGTTAATCACTGTACTCTTAAACCTGATCCAAGCGTCAGATTGTCTGAAATGTATCCTATTAACACTTTTTTTTTTGAATTTCGTTTCCAGTGCTATCACAAAGTTTAAAAGCTCGAACCAACGCATTCTGTGCAATGTTCTATGCTATTGTGTCTTATTGTACATAAGTTTATGCATGCTCCATGTCATGATTATTTCAGTTTTGTTATATGAATTTAGTAATGTAATTGATATTTTGAGTCTTAATTTTTGTTTCTTCCTGAATCTATCTCATCAAATCAATCATATGCTTGTTTATTATTTCATACATTTTAGATTTTTGCTAATTATCCTAATATTGACTTATCTGATCGCAAGGATTTCATTAATTCCACTGTTAAAGAGGTAAGTTAATACAAATAACATCTTAATGGGTTTCACACTAAATTATTATTATTCTATTATTTTTTAAAATAACGACATAACATATTCAAAACGTCACCTGTAGTAATTGTTCATCTATCCATTCTATCTCATTCCTGTATATGGATACATTCTGTTGTAAAGTGTGTGTTCATAGGATCAATTTTTTTCTATAGATAACATAAAAATGACACAATAGATCGTTATGGGTGATAGCTGCACACACGAATATAAGTTATTTAGGACAGTAATGTCGATGATATTTATCAGTTCACTTGGTACTATCATACCAACTTTCATCTTGTAAATAACTCTATAAAGCGTATCATCTGTAATATTTGGTACTTCAGATTACGTAGTAATTTTAAATGACCGGGACTATCTGATTTAAGACCCTGGACCTACATTTTATATTTCATGGGCTATGCCAAAAAACTTGCTCACCAAAGTACATTGAGAAAGCCGATATTCTTTGTACATTCTAACCTACCTTAAAGCTACGGAGGTTACTACATTTATTAAAACTTTTTTCTCTTTTATTTAGGTCATCTTTAACACTACTACATTTTATAGTCATTAACATTAATGATTCATCTGTAATATCTTATGGTATTGATACGTTATCACCATAGCGTACTAAAGATTTTGCCAGATTCAATATTCTGTTTAGTTTCATCTTTAGTGCTTCCACAGAGTTCAGTATAGTTTCTACGCTAAATTTCTCATATTATAACCGTCAGAAATAGTAATCGTATGACGTTACAGAGTGGGTACTGTCACCAAAGGATTAACAAAAATTTCTGAGCCCAATGTATGAAATAAAAATTCTCATACCAGATAAGTATATAACCGTAAAGAAAACGTATAAGGTATATTGACCACTGTCATTTGATATTTATTGTAAAATGGTTAACTAAACTTAAATAAGTAAAGCTAGATTTACACTCGCTACCTATTAATTGATAGTTGAATTTTCAGACCATGGAATGAATGCTATGGGAAATTCTCATGTTTAAAGAATCAAATAACCTCAGAATGCTCTTACAGAGTTGTGCTTATTTACCTACTGCTAGCAAAGTTATTCTCTTAGTACTTTTGCATTTGAGACGTTCTTATAAAGAATGAGGAAGAGTATAGATATCTGATACTTAAGATACTATAATGTGAACGATAGGAGCATATGGTCTCCGGTACCACAAAACAGCTTGTTACAACAAAGTGCCATTTAATTGTATATCCTGACTCTCTTCATTGCCTCATATATTGAACCCTTGGGTTAAAGAGGTCAGGGGGGTTTATTGAATAATTTGCTAGTTTACTTTAATTTTCTTTTTTGCGTTACACTCCTAACTAAATCTATGCCAGGCTATCTTTTCATTTTCGAGAAAGGTTAGGTGTAAATAATATTGTAACCTTGTTGGGGATGTTAGATCCTCAGAGCTCACTTGGTAAATGTCTAATTTTCCAATTCTATTTTAAAATTTTGAATTTCTTGTTTTCGCGCCAAAGGTGCCCATTTTCACCTTCATGTCGTATTTCCCACTTGGGAGGACCCTAAATGTTATTGGTTCGTTGTCTCTTTTAATATGCTATTTTGTGACGTTTCTCAAGGACATTTTTATGTTGTATATATGCGATTGAGTTGTGCATATTGTTGTTGTTTGTGCTTCTGAACCTGAACTTCTCCCTTTAGTTAACATCGGAATAGCTTATTGGTCTTCGTTCCGTTCACAGATTAGGTGAACTCGTAATCTCTTCAAAGGTAGCAAGCCTACAGAATAAATGCTTTGTTTATAGGAATGAAATACAAACATACATTTCTTGTTATTTTGATCTGGTCATCTTCGCGGTATTAAATCCCAGTATTGACTCGAACTGAGTGTTTAATATCAGCAACAGAATGTAATTGTGTCCATTTGACGAGTCCCAAATAGAACGAAGCACGTATCTCGTTTCCCAGTGTGAACCGTGAATCACCTTTTCTAAAAACATGATAAAATGCACATATATCTATATCCCGCTCAGGATACACACATGTAAAAAAACTAAGATTGACTTAAGTTCAATCTCTAGCATCAACAACTGTATAGTTCAAACACTTTATAATAACGATAATAAAATTATAGTCTAACATGAATATTCTGTTAGGACTCATAGGTTACATTAGAGTAATTTAATATAAGTAATTCACATTTAGGGATCGGACGATATTATTTTAAAGAAATGAATTGATAAAACTGTAAAGTTTCTATTATTCTACAGTATATTATCTACCAATTCTTATCTATTTTTTCTTCCTAGTTCTTGGCTCATTCTTGATTTGATTTATTATTGGTCGTAGAAGATGTGAATTGTGAATGTACGCCAATTTTTTGTTAAATAGTAATGGATCACATATATACATAACGACGATCATGGTGTTCATTCACACACATCATTTATTCTCTAATATTAATACCGGCAGCTGTATTTTCTAACCGTTGATCCACACACACACACATTTTGTTTTACCCTTTTGTTCCTAAATTTTATAGCCTCCCATAAGATACCGTACTGGTGTTAACATCATTCTTCCGTACCCATTTGGATATATATATATATATATATATATATATATATATATATCTGCTAACTTGTAAATTTTGTTTTTCCCTTTCACATTAAAATAAAATAGACAAACAATGCATTTCTCTACGCTTTTTCATTTGTATGTTTTATTCATTCTCATATAAGTAACACCACTCGTTGTCGCACTATCCATTCTTCTTTATTTGCGGAAAATCATTACCATTACTATTGTTATCGTTATTCTTCATATTATTATTACTATTATCATTATCATCACCATTATCATCTTTTTTATATTATTGTAAGTGTATGTGTATATGTTTATGTATGAGTGTACCAGCCTATAATGTGAAGATTTTCTCAATTCATTAATCAAGAAAAAATAAACAACAACAATTCTACTACAATGTCGTACTTTACTTTAAAATAAGAACTCACTACCATTATTATTACTACTACTAATTATGATATTATTGTTTTTAATAAACTGATATTATATATGTACAGATTTTTTTCCCAATATGATTGTTTTGTTTCGATAGAATGAAGTGTTGTTGTTGGGTTTTTTTGCATCTTATCGAATGGTATTGACTGTATTAAAACGCAATTTTATATGTTTAGTATCATATTGACATTATTTTTCTGAGTATTCACATTAGTTAGTGGATGCGCACTGCTGAGGAGTCCCATACTAGGACGAAACGGCCGTCTTCTGCTTCCAGGTTTTCCATGGTAGTCTAGCTTCAAATGACTCATGATTTCAGCCAGTGAAGTTTCTAAAAAATCTCCACTAAACCCATTCTGATAATAATAATCACCTGCTCACTAGTGACTGACTTCAGGAGATACTCCTGGAGTTCTAGTGAGAAGTCGTTACCAGTGGAGTTCAACTAGGTCTGTTGTGAAATGGGAACTCACTGAAGACAATGGTGTACGGTGGCGCAACTTCGTGGATTGGTTGAAGTTAGACATTAACACCGTTGGACGCCGGCTCAGTGGTCTAGTTGGTTAAGCGCCCGGCGCGAGACTGATAGGTCCTGGGTTCGGATCCCGAGGGGGACGGGATGGTGGATGCGCACTGCTAGGACGAAACGGCCGTCCAGTGCTCCCAGGTTTTCCATGGTAGTCTAGCTTCAATTGACTCATGATTTCAACCAGTGATATTCACATTAGTGTTGTATTGAATTCACTAGATATAACATCAAAATTAATCGATAACAAATATTAATGTCTTTATGATAGCGTGGTTTAGAACAATCTGTACAGAATTTACCTGTACTATAACAAAGGTTGGTCATAATTTGGTTATTAAATATTAACAACGGCCTAATATTAATATAAACATCATACCTGCAAAATAAATTGTTGATTTCATGAACTACTCATTAGCATAGTGGATAATGCATTGGGTATTTGAAGCGAAAGATACTCGGTTCGAATTCCAGTGTGAATATCAACACATACAGGTACATCTAGCTCACAAGTACTTAACCATGACAAAAAAGATGCGTGTGTTGAATCCTGCTACTAGTTAAAATCGATCTATTCTATGGAAGATGTAATTCAATATTTCAGATATAGAGTTCACAACTATCGAGTTAACGATTTTAGATATTTGTTTTCTATTCAAACCAACTTTTATTACATTTTGGTATTTGACCAAATTGTAATGACGTCAAATAAAATGTTGTTCTGTATATTAAACATTATTGTATACGTTTAATTTGTTACGTATTTCTTAATAAATGAGGGCGACAAAATTTATGGGATAATGTTGACTTTTGTTTATGTCATGAGGCTTCAAGAGTATTCAGAGTCTAGTCAAAAATAAAATTGTCCGCATATATCTTATTTAGTTCCAATTCGTGATATGTTTGTGACCTAAAGTTTCAAGTTGATCTGGAGCTTTCTAAACAAATTGTTATCAATCAAAACTTTTATAATATACACAGATCTGTCCGTATTTTTACTTCTCTTACCAATTTCCTAAATGACCCTATTCTTATGTCAATGTTAGTCGCTAACGGATACTCTTATCTTATCACCTTGAAAATAGAAAAATGTTTAAGTTGAAGAGGTTTTGTGGAGCTTGGTCTAATTCATAGGTTATGTTTATCGCAGATTGATCTAATTTGAAGTACTGTCGAAAACTAGGAAGTAAATAGACCAATCCCTGACGAATACCACCTACTGATTAAATCGGTCTCCACAAAACCCCTTCAACGTATTCCAGAAGCCCTTGTGATAAGTGGGTGAAGTTCAGTTAAATCGAGACTGAAACGGCTATTATCAGTGACGTCGTATGATCGTCGATCTATGACGCATATTAATCGAAGTTGGAATTGTTGTCCTAGTAGTTAAGCGTTCGTCATGAATTGATTGAGATAGGAAATGTATATCATTAATTTCCAAGTCAATGATCCAAAAGTATCGCATACGCTGGAGAACCTGATGGCTTTGAGTCTTATCCGTGGTGTGGCCGTACGTGCACACTGCTGAAGAGTTGCTTATTAGGACGGAATAACTGTTCAGTTTTCCTTGGTTTTTATTGGTACCCCATCTGATAAATGCAACCTAAAAGAGAAATTTGGATATTGTATTGCAAGCTATGCTCCTCATCAACCTTAAAATACTTCCGACATCTTAGTTGGACCATAAGTATATCTTTTTCTATAGCGTAAGAAAAGACATGTGTAATTATTGTTAGGTATATTGTATTGAAGCATCGCTATGTAGTTTAATACAAATTTCGCTGAGTGGGTTGGATTTCACACAACTTGAAGTGACAATGAGCAATCGGATACTATTTCTCCTTTTTGAAATATGATAATCATTTAATTGTATTGAAAATCATTATGGTAAATCTCGTCCTTGCGGTGTATAAACTATTTGTGGTTTTAGTTATTCCCGTCGTTTACCCTCATCTAATCAAATCTGTACAGAGCTCTGGGTCGAGATCACATTTCGTCAAAACAGATTAGTGGAAACTACAATCCCGTGTTTTAATTGGATAGTTTGATTCCTGTAATCCCCGCCGGTTTCAAGTTGGCTGTCCGCGCTAGACCGTGGGAATACAACCGCCTGAAACAGCGTAGCAGAAGTCTTCGCGCATCACTCATCTGAAACTTCAGAGTCCAACAACATCACAACGCAACAGACAAACCAACCTTGCGACTGGACCAACACATCTAATCTCATCCTGTTTGATACAATTCTCACAGTAAACCCTTCTCCTGAAGTTTCAGATTCCGTTCGCCGACTTTTCTCATCTGTATTGTTTAATTACCAAAGGTTATTTTCCTAGATGACCTGCTGTGGATATGAATACAGACTTCCATGCTATCTTATTTGGTTACTGTTAGACATAATTTTTTTATCTTCAGTAGAGACTTACTCAGTATTAGCATGAAGATGACATCTGAGCGTTTATTCATTTGTTATTAAGACAATCGACTTTTAGGTTATTGGCAATATAATCTAGTAATCTTTTGGTCCAGTACTATTTTACTCCTTAAAATTTGTTAATACAGGAATTGTATTCTTTCTTTTAGAAATATTGTAACTATATTATACAATGACCTTTTAATGATCATTTTTACTCTTTGCCTGGTATACAATGTTGTCCACACCTAATAGTCTTTGTTTTATTTTAGAGTTTCACAATATGGAATTAAGCCATCGTGTCCCGTTTTTACCCAAGGTCAGTTATTTAATATTTAATACGCTTAAATCTATGTATATAAGTAAAGTTTATATTTCGCTCTATTCTACATAGTCACCTCCAATTTCTTCATAAAATTAGTAACAATATTTGCATGTTTATTTGTTTTTTTTTGTACGAAATTTTAGGTTTCTGAAGTTTATAGTCGAAATACAAATGGTGATAAGTCATTCTTGAAACGCAATATTGTAAATGGGCAGTCAAAACTTCAATGGATTTTACTATCCATTATTGTAGTTGCTTTTTCAACATTACTACTAATTAGTGTGTATTATTTCTTCTTCCGTTCATTTTCTTTTGGGAACATGAGTTTGGACATTGATATGTTGGAGGTGAAAAAATGTCCTGGATGTGCTGGACAATCTATTTGTCCACATTTTTATCGTGGAGAAATTCGATTCACTAGTAGTCAAACTAATATTTTTCAATCTACCAAAGATGGGCTATCCTTTCCTGTTGTTGGATACAAAGCTACTATGGGTAAGTTTGTTTTGAGTTTGAATTATCTCATCATTGATCTCCTTGGCTGAATTAGTTCGCATATATGGGCATCTGGTACGGATTGCTTTGATATAGAAGAGATGGATTGTGCCTAACTATGGAATCTAGGTTGCTCGTTTTGTTCTATTTAGGATTCATCAGCTGGATGTTTCTGAATAAATTAAACTTTCAAATTACAGAAACAGTTCTTTGAAACTTACCTGAAGAATTCCAATATTATGTATGAGAATATTATCGTTTTCAATCAGATCCCCATCAGGCTTTGTTCTAATATACGCTAATAATATTTATATGCAGATATAAAAATATTATACCAATCAAGGCAGTTTATGAGCCAGTGATAACAATAGGATAGGTTATAAAAAAACTTAATACGTAAAATGTACAAATTAGTAGTCTGACGACGGGTGTACTAGTTGTAATAAGAATAATAAAGGCTTGGATCAATGTTTCGTAATAGAGGTCAACAACTTAGAAAAATAAACAATGAAATAACACATTCGGAATAATTAGACAATGAAGCGTGTATTTGTAGAAAGAGGTAACGAAAAATAAACAAGCGAAGGTTATCGAAAATAATAATTATAAGTAAAATTGTTTGTCAAACTTAATTTGGCCGATGCAAAATGACGAGTGTTTCAAATTTCTTATGAATTCAAAGACTTGGATTGTTAGCTCAGGTCCTTAAAGCTCCACGATCGAACCCTCCATATTCGATATTCATGATATAAGATGCCAACTGTTGCACTACGCCACCTTTTATCAATATCAGTGAATTTTAAATTTAGTGTATATTGATTAGTATCCTATCTGATTTCTGTAGTTTCAAGCTGCTGAAATAATCCTCAGCATCAAACAATCGATGTAAGCATTATACTACAGAAACAGTGTGGATCTTTTGGTCTTGGTTTTTGTAGGATTCACTTGGAATCAGAAATAAATACACCGCATCCTATTTTTTCGATACATTTTTATTTGGAATTTACGTATGAACCGCTAGACAAACATGAACGTGTAAAATCCATTTCCATGTCAAAATGAATATAAACAAACTAGAAACATGTCCCTCTCTACCTACTTCAATCTGGTCACTATCTTTCACTCTTAGTATTTGTATTAAAAGCAAGTACTTGAATATTTTTTCGGTAAATGGATTACATCACCTATCATTAAGTTTAAAAGCTAACTTTTTTGAAAGTCTCCTCCAAATTGTAATAGTTGTGAATGTTATGTTTTTTTTTCCCGTTAACTTTCTCTTTGTTCATCTTACTGTAATTAGAAAAAGCAGGCAAAATCAGGAAAAGCTTTCTGTTAGATACAGTCGTTGCCTCCTTCTTCATTACAAACGCCTAATGTGATGTATGACAAATGGACATTTATTAAGGATAATTTGATTAGTTTATTTACTATACTGCACAGTAGAATGATAATATATATGAATACAAGATTGGAAGTGCCTTCCTGACAAACGTTGTTGTATCATACCTATTATCCCCATCATATATTTCCACAATTAAATTAAATTACTACCTATGATTATATTGAAAGCGAGTGTAAAGATGACAAATAATTTATGGTATAGTAAGACAATACCTAACAAAAACTTATTTATATCCATATGTTAGCGTTTCTTGTAGGTGAAAATATGTCTAAATGAAAACGTTTGACAATTTTGAAAATAAACAAATATTTATATGTTGCTTGTTATTTAAATTGTATTTGACAATGATTCAAACGGAACAAATGATAGTATAGTGTATGCTACTTATGTTGACAGATATAAGTAGTATGTAATACCATTCGGAGGTGCAGTGACTGCGAGCGAAAGATTGAACTGAAGAGAAGAGAGAAGAAAACTGGAAGTAATCGAAGTAAAAATAGGAATGAAGGGACGATGATTTTTGTAAGAGACATCTCAATGATATGAAAATGATATATTTAATATATGGTTTTCACACTTTATTAAGTTACTGTGTGATTTCTCATCAACGATAAATCGGTTCTCTACGATAATCGCGTGTTTTGTAACTGGTATGCAGTAAATATCCGTATCTAACCTGCTGTCTAAAGTTTTACATAGATCAATCTAAATTTTTTGATCGGTTCTTGTAATTTGTTAAAGGTGTTATTAAAAATTCCAGTGCTTTGATTTATTCAACCACTTCAGTTATTACTCCATGTCGATAATTCCCTCTATTGTTTCTTTTGTCGTTCCACTTTTCCTAACTTCATCATATAATTCATTTTCGAGGTAATTTACTGTTTGTATTCATTTTGTGTAATTGTTTACATAATTGAAGTATTTATATTGTTGTTAATATTCATCACGTTTTTAGGTCTTTACGAAAATACTAGATATGTTCTTCTTCGCCGTCTTGGAAGTCCAGCCACACCATATGCCGTTGATGAAGCTGTTTGTCGACGAGGTTTGAGACAAGGTTCTCATATGTTCTCACAGTCTCTTCTAGCTAATCTTTCTTGTATACCACATCTTTCGATTTGGCGCTGGCGCCCAACAAATGCTGATAATCATGATCCATTTAGTAACTCAGTAGAATCTCCGCTTGGCAGAGAAGTTCTGGCAGTTCCAATTCCTTCACTAAATCAAAAAAGTGTGGAAAATAAAAGTGTTGTAAAATCAAGTTTTGCTCCAGCCACACGGTGTTCTAGCGATCGTTTGTTTGAACATCTTCAAAAGAGGTATTGAAAATATCTGTACTAAACTAATATTACTGATTTTGTACTAATGTCTTTCACGCAAGCAGAATGTAATTTGTTTGGTTGGCAGCAGAAGGAATAGCTATCGAACACCTTCAAGTGACAGGCAGATATTTTGTGTTATCAGAGGGGCCTTAAAAATATCTTACTAAATAACAAAACAGAGATTGAACGAATGATTAACATTCCAATTATTATAAAACTCATTATCGTACTTATTTTATGCAAACATAGTTTGAGCAAACGGCTACAACAATAAGCGAATGCATTTCTAATTAATAAATAAGCATATTTACACTATTATATTTTAGATTTTTAGAACGAACAAGCTTTGGAGCTGAAACTCGTTGGTTACGTTTTGATGAATTGATGTTCCTTTTTAATTTGGCAATCGATCCTCAAAGTGTAATCATACAATCGTTTCCACGCAAAGAAAATTGGCCTTTTCCAAGTTATTTAGGCTCTTGTGGACGCTGGTCTGTTGAAGAATATCATGGTGTACCACTTAGCTATTTCTGTTTGGTACTGTTTCTGCTTTTTTCCCCATTTCTATATAATTCCCTACTTGCTTTCACAGTTTCCTAGCTAATTTCAATAAATTGGTATCGACAAACAATTATCTATGTCATTTGATATATTAGAATCGTATATTGGTAATAGTGTGAATATAGTTGCTCAGACTTCATTGAATCAATCTTTTTAGTACTCTTGTCAATTGACTTTCTGTTAATACTGTTGCCACCTGATTTTCTCACTACGATTCAACAACCTTCCCTGACTGAAGTCATATACATATTGATCTAAATAGTTAGTTTGTATAAGAAAAAACTTCATAATTACCGAGAAGCCTTGAAACAATGATTACTGGTCAAGAAAGTTTTATGCAATACAATTGTCATTACCATTTAGAACTTCTTATGCATTTCAGATCCAAGTTCTAGGTGGATCTGCACGTTTTTATACTATCCTTCAGCCATATATATGTACTTCAGAGGAAAATGCTATCTTCGAAAAAGGCAGTGAAATAAAGTTTAAAGTATTATTCTAATTAAGTAATTAGATTATGCTTCACAGGCTTTATAGTTTATCTGTGTTGACAATGATGAGATGGTATTTCTTGATGTAAATGATGGTGAAGTAAAATATTTAAATTCTTCAATATATAGAGTAAATGAATACTGATAACATTATTTTGTATACCTACAAAAGGCGATGATTAGTGAGAGTTGGTTTTTTAAAATATGAAATTCCTGCTTATATTCTTATTCTTCTACTAATGTAGATGTGTGTCTTCTTGTCAAAGCTGTTCTTGATGACGACGTGATTTTTACTTATTTATACTTTTAATTACCCATCTGACAACCAAAGGATGAGTATACTGCTCAATAGTTACTGTGTTTTATTCTATGACTTTGAAACGACCTAAGAAAGGAGTGGACGTTAGTAAGCTGTACGTATCTATTTATAAGTGTCTTCGGTGCAATGCTCACGTAGCATTTAGTATTACTACGTGATTTTTTCTAACATTTAGTCATATGAGGTGTACTCTGATCTGTCCAGTCATTGTTATTTTTATATATGAACTTGACATATGTGTATGAAAAGTTATATATGTCTACATACTCAGGTTCAGGATCTTCAGTCTTGCGCAAACATTGCTGCGAAGTCTCATACTATCCGTCTAACTCTTCCACGTTTTCAATGGTGGTCGAACATTGATCTCAATTAAAACTTAACAATCTCCACAACTCCTCACTGACAATTTCATTTTCTTCTATTTAGGCTCCTTTATGGATAAGATTACAGATTTTGTTAAATATTCTCAGTCTACCAGAGAAATTAGAGCATCAATCTGCTGATGAAATGAATCATGGTAGTTTTATTCATGATATGCATAAACATAATTCATCTGATGGTTATACAATATACCTTGGAGATTTTGATTTAAACTCATTATTTCTAGTAGATCCTACAACATATGATGTAACCATTTCAAATTTAAGACATGCAATTATTGTTGACACAAAAACAGTAAGTATCCAATAGTTTGTTATTACATCATTAATTTTAAATGGTTTTATATGGTTATTCATATTAAATTTATAGTTGAAATGTTGATTTAGTCATCATTTTCTTAAAATTATCTTATATATATATATATATACGAATCCATCCTAGTTACAATCAGCTCTAACTTGTTTTTTTCTTTCAACTCTGCCCCGTTCATATCCAGCATAAGATAGCAATATTTATAAAGTTATTCCCCTTTACCATTTTACTGCATTTGATTTAATTTCTTGATTTTAAGTATCAAGAGAGCAAGAAAACTGATCATTCTAGATATTATATGATTGTTTCAAAGCTTTCTTTTCCCGTGTAATGTATAGGATGAGTTTGGTTACGATCCTTTCACCATTGTTCAAAGCCTTATACTTCATATTGTTCCAATCACGAACTGACCTTAGTTAACTAACCATTGAAAATCAGAAAGCAGTGGACAACTGTTTCATCATTTTCAGTAGTGGTCTAGCTCAGATCGACTCTTCATTTCAGCTGTTAAAATACTACCATATCCACCAATTCCCATAGTAGTATATGACGGTAATCTACACAGTCAAAAGTATCAAAAATGGTATAATTCAAATGCTCACCAATAACAAGCTCAGAATAACAACTGTGTTTAAAGAGTAGAAAGAATGAAGATTCAGAAATAAATGTTGAATAGCATTAGTAAATAAAGTTAATGCAGTCTCATGACTGATATTTGTTATCTGTGCATATATGATATTATTTCATCAAAATATTTTAGTTTACCCAATTAGTCATTCACATGATCACTAGTTTTTCGTATTAGTTATGAAATACTGTATATAGTCACTCTTTGTATGTAATGAATTGTAATCCTGATGGTTCGTGTTGCACTAATCTACATAGTTTTGTATAAATTAATTAGATCTTATTGACATCAAATCAAATTGGGATAGATAGTAAAACAATTCACAAGATTTATATATATATGCCCCCAAGTGCCCTGGTATGGCCGACGGTGGGGGGAGTCCGATCTCCCTCTCGAAATGCTTTCACATGGCTATGCATATATAGCCACTGATAAGAAAGTTCTACTCACTGCCTTCTCGCTGTGAGTGTCGGTTAACGAAGTTGTGAGAACAAAAAGCGAATGTCCGGCGCTTTGGCCGGGTTTGTGGGTATGAAGGATCCACCTAAAGGAGTTGGTAAACCCTGATTCCAAACCAATGGTACAAATGGTCTCCAGGATCCTGAGGAAACGAATGGCGTATGAACCTATTGTTGCTCACCGGCTACTACTGGACTGCATCTCCTAGAGGTGTTCCACTGCTTTGTGGATTAGGTCTCTAGGTCGAAGGCTAATGGAGTGACCTCCTAAGAAAACCACTTGCTTCGGTTTGGACGCTAAGGCAGGATGTCAGCGCTTACACAAATTAGATGACGAAGTGCGGTGTACATATATTCGTTGCCTTGTACCAATATTTGTGTTCAAATAAATAAGTTTTTTACAACCTCAATTTTGTGCGGAGGTACCATATACCATAAGCCCTATGTTCATGTAGGGTAATAGACTTGTTCAACTCTATGCCATAGAAGTTTTATAGCAGCTTCACTTAAGGGATATTGATAAAAAACATCAACCAAAATTATATTGTGGATATAGAACTTATCCATTTCTTCTTCTTATAAAGCCTTTTCAACAGGATTCGTTTTATAATGAAATAGATCATTATTGACCAAGTCAATATCCAATTTCGTCTAGGTACTTCAACTCAATGTATAGTTTACACATACATAGTTATTCCTATGCTTAAATTTTCAGTAATTATAATTCTTTATTTAATATCATTTTCAAATTCAATAAATTTTAATTTTAATTAATTTTTTAGTTAATTAACTTTCATTTTGAATCGACCATTGAAAAAGAACATACTGTACCAACTAATGCTTTAGTTAAAGTACTCAATGGTTTACAATTACACAATTGTTTTGGTAATATATCTACTTCAGGTGATACAGATGGTGATACACCACCATGTTTACATAATAATCATGTTGATAATTTATGCTCATCTCAAAAATCGGATCATAATATCTGGGTTATATGTACTAGTTTATTATACGGTGTTAATAGTAAAGATAATAATCATTGTAATAATTTTCTTTATCAAATGCCAAATGAATTATATACACTTATTGAACGTTGTGTTCATGAATCGGGAATTGGTGTAAGACGTCAATTAATTGAAAAAGCTCGTCATTTAATCAAACAAAATATTTGACATGTTAACTTGTCTCTTCTTCAATTAATTTAGTTTATATAAAGTTAAGTCATTCACCGCGCGTGTGTGTGTGTGTTTGACTGTTTTTTATTCATTTATTTAGTTACTAGGTGGTAGACGAGTTGTTTAGTGCATTTTTTAAAAAAAAAACAACGTAACTAATTATTTTTGCATTTTAAACTAATTGGCCTATTTTATTCTGTTTTTTTCCTTATCATATTTACGATTAGTTTGTTTAATCTCTCTTTTTTTTCTGGCTGTGATAATCAGTTTAATCATTCCCCCCCCCACTTTTTTTTTACACAATTCTTAAAGTTTTTATAAAATGGAATTATATTTTTATTCCTAAATGTTTCGTGGTTTTGGTAGTTGTTTGATATTTTATTGTAAAATGTTTTATGCATATCAGTACGTTAAAAATGGTTGGATTTGTGATTTAGCTTTTGTGATGATTGAGACTTGTCAACAAGATGTGTACCTGTAATCGTGAAAGAACTGATACTTTTGTGATGTATTTGAGCCTGGATCATTTAGCTTTACGCTATACTTCTGGGTTATTTGAGCAGTGACGAACTTCCTATAAAGTTGAAATATTTTCGATTGACTGATTACTGTCTATTCAGTTGTAGATCTCCATGTTTAATTTATAAGTATTTTCCGTTGTCCTGATACTATCGAAGTCAACATACAAATCTGGGAGGTTGATATCAAGAAGTATTGTATGCGTATTCATGTTGTTTACGTTGATCCTGTTTCAATTTCCCAATATCATTATATGAATTATCCTAATCTCTGTAAACGAGTAGTAGCTAGGTTATTTTAGCTTTGGTTAGATCCGAGTTAACCAAACCGTGATTCATCATTTGCTCCTACACTACAGTTAATCAGTCATAATCAACATAGAGCCTAGCATAAATATATGTTAACCCAGGTCACTATACCACGTCAGCAGGACTAGATTATCAAGATGAGTAATAAAGCAGTCGAAATAATCATAATAGCAATGATAATGAGAAAGACTGAACATTGAGAATATGATTAGGGAAGACTTAGTAAAAAAATATGTATGAATGAATACTAAGATTCAAGTGTAAGGTAAATATCAATTGAAGTTGTCTGCTGTGACTGATTCTGAATGAAGATTCAATGTTTGAATCTGCTGATGGCATGGGGTCCAACCACCTGTGTGATTCATCATTTCACTTAGAATTATCCATTACCGAGTCCACAAGTCACATAATCTTAAGTTATTTAAGCAGTTCACCACTTTATATTGTAGTTCTCAAAATTCGTGTTTGGAAATAAACTTTGTTACTTCAGGAACGTAACTACTCTCATTTCCCGGCATCAACACACAAGCAATCTCAATGTTCAGCAATACAGATTTTATCGCTTAATAAACTGACTTGAGTATTCATAGGTTTCAAACTTGATCTTTATACGAAGCACACTGACCAATAGCTGACAATTGTGTGAATGAATATTTCACATATTCAACACTAATAGAGGATAATTTACACAATATTTGAAAACTAGTTCTCATAAGCAAAATTCTAATTAATAAACATATAAAAAATTTGGGTCGATAATATTCATCATAAAAACGAGATCGGTTCAGCCAGTCATTTCCTTTTCAGTGTATTTATTCTGAAGTATGTACATATATGCTTCTTTTACTACAGAGAAGACCGATGGTATGTATTTTAAATACTGATTTACTTAGTAACAAAAATCAAGGAGAAATGTTATCTTTATTAATAAACTAGATACATAGCTGTTGAGGCTTTGAATATTTATCAACAATGCTATATATATTAGAAAAAGAATAATGATAAAGTCACGTTGCCTAACAATATGATAAAATGTTGAAATTAAACAAATGTAATCAGAAATGGTTTGGGAATAAATAAGTCGGTTAGGGGTAGCAAATCAACAGAACATTAGAAGAACAGGGTACTAACTTTGGGAAATTAGCTAGACAAAATTATTCTTTTATGGGTACGTCCAGCTTTTTTAAATGTACAGTGAAGACCAATGATGTTAAGTAACAGTAATAATAATCATACGGTCCAGATTTGTCTATTCACATTTAGGGATCCAAAAGCGGAACTAGAAATAGGGTCACAAGATGTAGATCTTGTTCACATAGGTTGAGGATTAATCAAGTTTGATTGTAGGAGGTCACCGTTCGGATTTCATCAACCGGGGTCAATCTATGAAGAAAACCATCTTGAAATCTAAGGATGTTTCTTATTTGATTCAGGTCCAGATTTGTGTACTGAGGACAGAAGGTCTACGGCCTTTGTCAGTCCTATTTTAGTAACCTTTTGAGATTGTCTGGTCTACTCTTGAATGAGTTATTTGAAGGGGTGGACGCCACTTCTTCGGATAACAGGTTCCGAGAATTGATCACTCGAGGTGGAAACCTGTATGCCACGGGCATCTTGTTCAATCTTGGCTTGTATGCTCGCTTGGCATGTCCCCTAAGTTTTCCTGATTTAGTAGGAAGAAAGAGAGGTTATATCTGGTCCAAAATCATTTCTTACTATCCTATACGTCAAAGTCAGATCACCTCTTAATCTGTGGTAGGGCAGAGTAAGGAGGTCTAGCTTATCAACCCACTCTTTGTATCGTAAACCCAGGAGTTCTGGAATTGCACGGGTAGCTGCACTCTGTACGTTTTCCGAGGTATCAATTTCATACGAACAAAGGCTTGCAGTCCGAGCGCAATTTTGAAGTTTGGATCTAAGGCTGTGTATACTGTAGTAAACCTATTGCTATCTTACTTGGTCAATGTCCATCTTAGAGGCCATAGGGTTCTAAATCCTTTAGTTGCGACAGTGGCAGTGGGCTGAGGTTTTAAGATCATGGCCTACTGTCATTCTAAGATCCTTATCAAACCGGACTGCGGGTACAGGCATTTCCTCAATGCTGTACCTGCTTCCCTTTGTATCCCCGAAATACATATATATATATATATATATATACTTGGCCCCGTCGATAGGCATCAGGCAACTATACTTTGAATTTCATTTACATACAGTATAAAAATTAAAGAACCTAGGGCAGAAGCTTATGGTGCTTTAATAAGTACTGGTTTCCGATAGAAGTATTTGGGATTTATTCTTACTTTGTCTACAATCTACTAAGAAATCCCTGATACACTTTAGGTGAGGTCCGGTAGTTCCTAAATTTTTCAGCCTCAAGAGTAGTATATTCTCCGGCACCTTATTAAATGCTTTGCTGAAGTCTATGTAGACTCTGTATTTGCGTCTAGTCCTTCTTCGAGAAGAGGCTCCTGAGTGAAAACTGTCCCGAAAGAGTTCGCCCATGGACTCTGCTTTGTCTTCCTCCATCATTTGAGATACACTCCCTTCAGCAATTAAGTTGGGAATCTAATGGTGCGTTCTTGTTCTGTAATTTATGTGCGAGAATAATCTTGTCGGCCGCTTGGTTGCAGATGGGGTCAACGGTTTTCTATATTTTCGCTGAGCTGCCCTCATTGTACTTATACACTTAATTCGGACCGGTTTTTACCGCTCCGTCGTATTTGTTGATCCAGGGCTGATGATGACGTCCCAAAATTTCTTTCGTCTTAGTGACTGTCGAATAACAAGTGTTTATATTCTGGTTTCGTTGAGTGTAGACTGCTTGTAACAGTGTTGAATAAAGTATTACTAGCCTTATAATTTGGTTCTCTATTTTTGGTGGTGAATTATGTACCTGGTATCAAGTGATTTGAGTTATGTATCGCATATCAATCGAGGATCTAGGCCAGAAGTAGTAAAATCTCAGTCACCGGTAGTAGTAGTATTATTATAGAAACATAACTAGGAAAACAGAATATTTTTATTCTCCCGTTATATTAAGATCTACGGATCCGGATTCAATCACATGTGGGGTCGTTGGTACCCGCTACCCATGGGACTAATATTAAGACGAAACAGCTTTTCAGTGCTTTCTAGTTCTTAATGGTTATTTGAATAGATCATTCTGTGGAAAAACTATGTAAATTCAACAGTCTTCACGACCTTCCCTCCATTAATTCGGTCTTTTATTTCTTTATACTCAATGATCTTTAGTGTGTTCCTTTGTATTACTCAGTGGTAATTAGTAGTTAATTCACTTTTAGTCATTTGTGAATGTATGATACCGTAACTCGTGTATCACTCTTAAGCATTTACGTAAATTCGTATATATATATATATGGGACATGACTAGCAATGGAATCCAGGACGCGCGTTTCACTCTAATTAAAACTCGTAAACTGGATTTTGATTTCAGGTTTTCCACTGATTTGTACTTTTCTTAAGTGACAGTATCCCCATTTTGTGTTCTTACTCTCCATTTTGATGGATGACAGTTACTGTTGACTTTAGACATAGTTGCTAGCTGTTATTTCACAATTGTTGTTATAACTTGTGGTCTGTGTGCCCCGTTAATGTATAACGTAATGATACCGCCAATTAGAGAACAGTAATTTATCGATCGGACCAATGACGCATAAGACACGTACGAGCAGCCTAGAGTCCTTATCGGTCCTGCTTCCCACTTATCACAGCCCATTAAGTTCAGAACACCAATCTCAGCCTCTGCGACATGAATCATTTATTTCAAACGTGCTCAGTTCATATACCAACCAGACAGAAACATCGTACCATAAAATACGAAACAACATTTGTACAAGATTTAGCCAAATGTGGCTGTGAATGTCGGAGGTAGTAATCGATAGACAGGGCATAACTCAAGAATGGTAAATAGTATAATAACAGTTCATAGGTCGAAATAAAGCTTATGATAAGAGGAACACGAATATGAATAGTTTAGTTATTTAACAATTATTCGATAAAAATATACTGATAGTACTGGTCCATAAATGGGTCCCCAAAGTTACCACTCACTATTCTCATCGGGATATAACAATTGTATACTACAAATGGTCTTTGTATTATCATTTCAGGAATTAATATTTCCCCTCAAATAAACTTACTCGCTAGACATCTTAAACACATCACATACTAATGTCTAGAATTATTTAGAGTTTATTCTTGTAATAGTAATACTTCCTTTTAGATAAATTCTTTGTTTTTTATTCTAAATTTTGTGCTTGATTTAGTAGTTTTTAACGTCTCGATTGTGTCAAAAACATTTTGATTATGAAACCGAGTACGTTTGCTATCTCTAAGACATAATATCTCACGGACAGACGGAATATCAGAAAGCAAAGCCGGGTCTAAGACTACGAAAACGTAGCGTTTAAAGAAGATAATGCTTCATATATTTATATTTAAATAAAGCGGAAATACATTGAGATCATGAACCGACCAATGTCAGACTACCGTCAAAAATTTGGGAGCACTGGTCTGCTATCTTCACGTAGTACGGCGCTCCTCAGCGGTGTGTTCCCACGCTAAGATCTAATCCATGACCTTCGGATATGCGCATTAACTCTTAACGTCTAGACCGTTGATCTAGGATCTAAACAAAATGGATATGAGGAAGTTATGAAATAGTCCGTGTTGACTGGTTCAACAGCAGAGTACTGATATGTCTTGATAGTTGAACGTTAGATTTGGTTCCTAGGCTCTCCTAGTAACCCCCAGGCTAGATCTACACAGCGACTTGAACACGAGAGAAAAGGTGCTAAATATGTAGGAAACACTTTACTCCAAAGTTCGTTTATATACAGAAAATATAGGGTTTTTATAGTATTTTAGATGTCCTTGGGTTTACCGAAAATTCTTGAATGCTACTAAACATAGTAACAGTATAAGTAATCATCCAATCAGAAACCCTACATGCGATTTTTCACGTTTTTGACGTTTCTGTCAAAATTTCTAGTGAATGCTGATTGTATAACATGCTTCTCAGTGTTTTCAGAGCCTTTCTTGGCTTTTTTCGAGGAGTTATTTGAATCTCCCAAACAAGTACATAAACCAATATAATTTTTAAGACCATACAGCAGAACGGATCAAAATCTGGAGTAGTAAAAATTTCCCCTGTATAGACCTTTTTACATTAAACAATATACAACATTTAGCATTAAGTAATATCAATATCATGAAACTAATGTAATAACTAGACTTAGTTTTATCATATATTTGTGTTATTTAGGATTTTTCAAAATAATTGCCATTCATTTCGTTATAAAATCAATTGAGACAAGCGTTTATCATGTAGTAGTAGAATGATGACTGTTTTGTAACCCAGGATATCTTGCGCGTGTTAAATACTTGTACTAAATCAATCTAAGATTATAAGAATAGGGATTTGTGGAGATTGCAGTTATTTCAGTAGTTGAATTCATGAATCGATCTAAGCTAAACCACCATTGAAGACCTGGAAGTACTGAATTGAATGGTTGTTCAAGATCATGGATCGATTGAAGTTAGACATTAAAAGCGTTGGATACCGGATCAGTGGTCTAGAGTTTAAGCGTTCGCTCGCGAAACTAAAGGTCATAGGTTCGAGTTCCTCGCACGTGACTATGTGTGAGCACTGCCGAGGAATTCCGTACTAGGACGAAACGACCGTCCAGTACTTCCAGATTTCTCACTGGTAGTCTAGCTTACGTCGACTCATGAATTCAACGACCCACAGTTACCTAACGTTACGAGTCGCTATTTTTGTGGTAATTTTTATGCTACTTATATCATGTAAGTACATACTAGTTTTATCGTTAAAATCTGAAACGGTTCAAACACTTGGAAAAATTATTTAATCAGTTCATTTTTAATTCAACAAAATTAGACTGACTTATTTTCATTGATAGTAGAAATAAGGGGACAAGTCTTTACTCCTCGATTTCATTCACATCAATTTAGATTCTTTGGCATAGACTGAATCTTCTCATACTGAATGCTCTACAGAAGCCCAAATGACCCAAGTCTATATGAGTCTGCATTAGCGATAAAACGGGTCTTGATTCGAACCATAAACTAATATATTACTAAACTAATTAGTGACCATTTCAGATATTTTAAGCTCAATTTACTTAAGAATATACATAGATTATTTACAGATTACAATGAAATCACTACTTCTTTCAACTTAATTCTAATTAATGGTTAACTTATCCAGTTTACTAAGGATACAGTAAAATGTATTTATTTACCTTTTTCAAATACTATGATTTTAAAAGCAAAACTTTTAGCTTCATGACTAAATATTGAAAGGACAGGAAAGGGACAAACCTGGAATGACAGTTTTATATACCTTTGCCAATGAAGTTAACTTTGAGACGATAGATATACAAAGCCTCAGAAATACGAAAAAGGCACAATTTATTTGATGTAGTAAATAAGATTGTCTAGTACCCATGTACTAAAACTGGGTGATACGGGATCGAGTCTTTCAAGGAGCACCAACTCCCTCAAGATGACAGGTACACCTTGCTGATGAGTGCCAAGTAGCACGAAACCCGCGTCCAGGGTTTCCTGTCGACTACCTCCAACCACCATCTAAAAGTCATGAGTGAATATCTGTAGATTGTTTAAAATATTAATTATGGAGATGATGTATTACACAAATATTGGATCACTATGTTTATTTTACTAATGTTAATGAGAAATTTCGCACGCTTAACTTTTGTTTATGAAGGTCAGGTAGAAAGCCCCTCATAGCAATAGTTTCTGCATAATGGCGTTCACTACATTTTAGTTATTTCTTACCCCTTTCTTGTTATCCATGTTATATTCATCATCCATTGTCTAGTGATCACACTTTCGAATATCTTTGTTTTAAACACGGTGAACATAATAAGGATATTATCAAAACTTTTAAAATTTGTCTTACAAGATTAATATTACATCGAATTCCCGTGCTAAATGTTCATCATTTTATTTATTTATTTATTTATTTGAACTCATAAATATTGGTAAAAGGGGCAACGACTACAAATGCGCCAAACAAGTCACTTGATTTGTGTGTGTGGGCTGTGATACTGTTCCGGTGCCAAAACCGAAGCAGGTGTTTTTTTTTAGACGGCCACACGCGGAGCCTTCGACCTAAAAGTCTGATACATAAGGCAGTGGAGCAACATCAGGAGATGCAGTCCTATAGTAGCTGATGACTAATAATTGGTTCATACTCCATTTGCTCACTCACGATCCTGTGGTCAATGTGTACCATCGGTTTGGAAGCAGAGTTTTCCAACTCTTATAGGTGAACCCTCCGTGTCCACCAATCCGGTTAAGGCACCGAAAATTCTCTTTTCATTCTTACGACTTCGTTAAAAAAAACGCTCTCACCGCGAGAAGGCATTGAGTAGGACTTTCCTGACAGTGGTTATATACACGTGGCAAAACACAAATAATGAAATTGTTCGATTTATATATTAATTAAAACCATTTATTTATAATTATTTATTGATATTTCATTGATTTTATACAAGAAATAGATAAACATATTTAACATATCTAGTAATAATAGTAGTAATCTTTTCTTGGCTTTGGTTTACTATGAAATTAAAACGTCCATATGAACATATCATTATTATCATTGATAATCAATAAACATTATAGAATTAATCAATTAAAGACGATCCATTTGAATTGGTTTTGTATAAAGAATACATAAACCAAATGGTATACATGTAACACTTATCCATAATGATGCAAATATCCAAAATGCAAAAGAATGATTCACTTGAGTAAACATGTATACAATTGATGCACAGAGAAAGCCAACTAAAATGATAGAGAAGCAGCAAAAAAAAGAAAAGAAAGGAAAGTAGAAATCACGAATAAGTAGATAAAACTATAATAGGACAAAAACAGCCATAGATTCATGATTATGATTAATAATATAGTAAAGTATTGGTTGGAGACATTGGATGATATGTTTCAAAATTGATCGTAACTTGTATTACTGCATTCAATCATTGTATCGGAATCGTCGATACGCACTACCGAGTAGACCCACAATAGGATGAAACAACTGTCTAATGCTCTTTTATTCATTTTACTGATGACCAGTTCATTTTAGTGTAAATATTCGGATGAATCTACAAGATGAATGACGTGAATAAGGAAACAAGAAGCCCTGACAAACTACGAAAGCTATTTTTCGGGACGTTATTCCATTTTATTCAAAGCTTGTAAAACACTAACATTTATTTTTGTCCCTAATCTATTCTACAGAACATAAGCTTTCGTTCGATATATGATTCATTGCCATACTCTTTTCTGTTCCGAAGCTAATGTAATTTAAACATAATATTTTGCACCCTATTTTTCTACTCTAATTCCCAGCTTTGGACATAATTGTATTTTTCCTAATTATTGTAAGTTGTGGTCGGGTTATTCACTAAAATATTCATGTACCTTTTGACACTAATCCGAAATCAGGAAAATCAGGATATCGGGAATAGATCGAGTAGTGTTCCAGTTGTCTTGTCTTCTCTCATTCGCGTGTTTTTCAGCCAATCAGGTGATAGAATGATTTTCTCTCTATCCCACATCGAACTCACGCGTACTAGCCTCAAGATTAGGTCGGTCAGCCTATCGCACCAATGTCTTAATGTGGATTAGATGATAACTATCTTCAGCATCAAAAGTCGGTAGACAGACCAAAGGACATAACAATGACATTTAGAGATTCTATAATTTTAAACAGTGTTACATTTTATGAATGTATGATTTTCATATTGTAAATGACCTCAATAAATGTTCCATTCCTAAATTATTGCTTATAACATTTATGTAGAGTTTACTTTCATCAGTAAATCAACAACAATAATGAATATAAAATTGAACATGTAAATTCATATCCATTGAAATACAATAAAATGCAAATGAGTGTATACATGCATTGTGGAAGACCTATTCATCTCATTTGCACAAACAATAGATATCCGTATAGTGCGATCAAGATGTTCATACATCCATGTGAGTATGTATGTATATTTGTGTTCTCACTTAAAATGATCTACTTGTTTTGGTCTCTTTCTTAAAATAAATGTAAATGAGAATTCTTATTTTATATAAATAATATCAATAATAATAATAATGGTTTATTTTAAAGAAACAAATCGATTAAGAATACTCTCTCTTAACTTCAATCAAACTATGTAAATACTATTGAATCTCTGTAATAGTGAATGATTTCATTGAATAATGATCAATATCATCTTTGATAGAGTTTTGTTCTCTAAAATTTGGATGATTTGATCATGGAGCTTTCGTTGTTCTTCTGAACAACATCATCAATAAAAATTTCTATCAAACTATCTAGCTCAGAGAACAAAACTCTATCAAAATCATTTATATGAGATACAAATATTCACCATCATCTCAATATAATGTTTGTCTAATTTATTTCAGTGTTCACCTAGTCTATGAACCGAACAAGACTCTCTGTGACCAAAGACCAATAAGCTAGCTATTCTGATGTATCTCAACCCTGCTAACTATAGAGAGATATCCAAGTTCGAACGGGGACATATATTCTGCAAACAGCCAGAAGCACGAGCAATAACAGGCACAAATCAAACGTATATATATATATATATATATATATATATAGCATAAAATTGTCCTTGGGAAGCGTTACAAAATAGCATACTAAAAGATACAACGAACCAATAGTGTTTAAGATTCTCCTAAATGGGAAATACGACATGAAAGTGAATATGAGCGCTTTTGACGAGAAAAGAAGAAAATTCGAAATTTTAAAAGAAAATTACAAAAATAAGGTATTTACCAAGTGAGTTCTGAGGATCTAACATCCCTAACAATTTTGTAGATCAAGTTTTCTGTAGTACATACTTTAATATCATTAACTAAATAATTTATAAACAGGAATAATTTAAAGTTAGTTATCAATTAAGGCAGCCTGCTTAAGCATCTGGGCTACCTGTTCCTGCCATCCAGATATTTCAACAAGTTATCTATTTTTATTTGTTTCAATATATCAATATGTTTATTAATCACATGATGTATTCTGCTGCGTTTCTGAAAAGTGTACAACCTTTCGTTGTCAAAGTTACAAAAAACTCAATAAGAGCCAATGTGGTTGCTGGCGATCACTCAATATTTATCGCCAGGACCCACCAAGAAGAAAGAAACGGAAACTTGTTGAAATACTTTACGCTGAGAATTCTATATTGTACCAAAAATATAATATTGAATAAAGCTAATAATAATAATAATAATAATAATAATAATAATAATAATAATAATTGTTAAACCAATATCAGACGGTTGTGTATGTTTTTTCTTCCTTTGTTTTAAACTTATCACCTATGTGAAACTGAAATCATATATGGGATTGAGCAATAGTTTGTTCAGGTTTTATTTTGAGCATAAAATAATTCAGACAATAAGTCAAAATCTAATGGTTCATATTTAGAATGCTGTCCTATTCTCATGCGATGTATTTTGTAATGAAAAAAAACACATTTAAACTGACCAAATAGACTCTACAGATCACAAATTTCCATTAGAACTTTCAGAAACCTATCATGATATTAGGCTCTAGTGAGCTATCTAATGTTTTCTTAGTTCTCAGTGTTTACTGGACGATGGCAGTTTATAACAAAAGACTCTCTATAAACTACGTAGTATTTACTTACTTACGCCTGTTATTCCCAATCGAACATAGGCCGCCGACCAGCATTCTCCAACTCACTCTGTCCTGGGACTTCCTTTCTAGTTCTATCCAATTGTTATTCATTCTTCTCATATTTGTCTTCATTTCTCGACGTAATGTGTTCTTTGATCTTCCTCTTCTTCTTTTGCCTTGAAGATTCTATGTGAGAGCTTGTCTTGTGACTCAATTGGGTGCTTTCCTCAAAGGGGGTCCTATCCACAGGGCTTGCCTTGTGGTGTAGTTGGGTGATTTCCTCAGTGTGTGTCTTATCCACTTCCATTGCTTCTTCCTGATTTCTTCCTCCATTGGGATCTAGTTTGTTCTCTCCCACAATAGGTTGTTGCTGATGATGTCTGGCCAACGGATCCGAAGTATTTTGCGTAGACAACTGTTAATAAATACTTGTATCGTCTAGATGATGACTTTCGTAGTTCTCCAAGTTTCCGCCCCATACAGTAGAACTGTCTTGACACTTGTATTGAAAATCCTGACCTTGGTGTTCGTTGACAGTTGTTTTGAATTCCAGATATTCTTAAGTTCTAAACATTCTGATCTTACTTTGTCGATCCATGCCTTCACACCTGCATCAGATCCACCCTGTTCATCACTGATGCTGCCCACATATGTAAAGGTTTTCACATCTCCCAAATCTTCTCCGCCAATTATGATTGGATTGGTGCATGCTGTGTTGTATCGGAGAATCTTCCTTGTCCATTTATGTATATTGAGATCTACTGCTGCTAAGGCTGCTGCTACACTAGTCGTCTTCTACTTCATTTGTTGTTGCGTTTGCGATAGGAGGGCCAGATCTTCTGCGAAGTCTAGATCGTCCAGCTGCATCCTAACTGTCCACTGTATCCCACGCTTTCCCTCAGATATTAACGTCTTCATACATAGTACTAATGAATCTTAATAATTTAAATGTTAAATATTATAATAAAACAATGAAGTAATAGACCTTTTCATTGTTTCATTTCAACTTAATAAACATTATAATGATAGTGAAAAATAGTTAAAACTAAACAAAATATACCTTAAACTTACTAGTTAAAATAAGTAATATCATTGTAATAATAATTATTTTCTTTGTTCTACCTGGTCCAGATACAATAGAGACAAGAATTAAAAGACCTGATGCACCAAGAAAAAGTATCGATATTAAACTTAATGATAAATGAATTTTAGCTCCTCTTGGTGGTTCTTCATTATCTATAAATTATAGAAACAGATAAAATATAATTATCAGTTTAGGGGTTGTGGAGATTGTTAAGTTTTTGATTGAGATCATGAACCGATTAGTGTTAGACCACCACTGAAAGCCTGGAAGCACTGGACGGCCGTTTCGTCCTATTGTGGGACTCTTCAGCAGTGCGTATCCACGATCAAATCCCGTGGGATTCGAACCCAGGGCTTTCAGCCTCGCGCGCGAACGCTTAACCTACTGGACCACTGAGCCGGGATCCAATGGTGTTAATGTCTAACCCCAACCAATCCACGAAATTGCGTGACCATCTTCCATTGTACTGAGGCAGACACCTGTTTCTACCAGACACGGATTGTCAAATTGAATTTTCAATATAATTTATTATTTAACATTCTAGTTTGTAATGTTGTTGATTGTTGGCAACAAACTAAAAATATATTTCACTAGTTGAAATCATGAGTCAATCGAAGCTAGATCACCACCATGGAAAACCTGGAAGCACTGAACGGCCGTTTCGTTCTAGTATAGGACTCCTCAGCAGTGCGCATCCACGAACTATAATTTTGTACATGTTAATAATCATCAGTAAATTGTATTAGATCTAATAGTGGTATTTGTTAATTGAATAGATAGATTGTCTTAGGTAAAGAAGTTGATCAGTTTTAGAAATTGAATATGTGACCAAAGTAGTTCAAAACTTTGGAATTTTACTTAATCAGTTACTCATTTAAATTTAGTCTGATCAACTGTATCATATCTTCAGTCTTTACAAAGGAACTTGGCACAAGTCCATGAAGTCACTGACAAGTGGACTGAGCCATGTTGGTAGGTGTAGACTAACTGGTCAGGGACCGCGAGATGATGGCAACCGATGGTTAGAGGCTTTGAATGATGTGGCTTAAAATCGTTTGGAATGGCTCAGGTGCATCCACTCTTTATGTTCCCCGAAATTCTGATCTTCTGAATTCTTCATGTCACTTTTTTCTCTTTCGAAGTCTTTTTCATTGGACTATACTCCTTGAATAACATCTTCAAACCCTAATCTTCCCTATTACTGCTTATACTCTTGCTACCTCTACCACTACGGGATTTGAATCGACAACTGCATCTCTATGCTAATGTGGTATGGCAACTCGAACTGATGTATGTACGTACGAAGTTCTACGTTTTTACTGAGTGACTGACTTTACAAAGGAAATATTGTTCGAATCTCAATAGTTCAATTAATTAATCAAGTGATATTACGACAGAAACATTATAATTAGGTGAATATTGAAAAGGTGGTAAATTTTGGAAATAATTACTAGATATTCAGGTTATTTTATTCTCATATTCTTGTATTTTTAATTTCTCATTTGGTATATAAATGATTGTTGCATGTTTTACCATTCTTGTATTATTATAAATTAATTATCTATCTGTTGTTTAGTTCCCTTTCACTTATGATGTAAATATGAACACAATGTAATTTCTTATTTATATGGTGCCAAAATTACCTTATATCGCTATATGAGTTTGAGACTCATGATACTGCTACAAAATTGAGAAGGTAACAGTTTATTGACTTAGTCTTTTTTATTAAATGATGGATTGAGAGTCACTCGAGAACCGATAAACGTTAAGGTCTCAGTTATCGTTCATTGATTGCTGACATTGGAAAAATAAGTCATCGATCCTACAGGTAATATAGATGAGTAAATCGTTGGTCAAATGGGATACTACAACTTTTCTCATAATAAACAGCCTGATCACATAAGCTTCAATAAAATTCTAGAATATAGTCTTTTTGAAGTTGATGACAAAAAAGTATCACAATAAATTAACATAATGAACTAAATGTAATATGGCCTTTTGAGTAATCTAACTTAAATAGACTCATTAAACTCAACCATTAAAATCACTGCAATCTCCACAAACCTATATTCTAATAATAGTTATCATGCGCCAACTAGTGACTAGTGGATTTCCAGGAATTCTAATAAGTCCAATCTGTGTCGGGTGGAAACAATCATCCCCTTCAGATAATTAATGAAGACTAACACAAGATTATGGATCGACTGAAGTTAGATATTCACACCATTATATCCCAGATCAGTGGTCTAAAGGCTAGGCGTTCGCGTGCGAGACCATAGGTCATGTGTTTGAGTTCCGCGTGCGGAATCATGGATACGCACTGCTGAGGAATCCTATACTAGGTCGAAACGGCTTTCAGATTTTCAATGGTAACTTAGCTTAGATTAACTCATGAATTCAACTATTAAAATTATTACAATCTCTACAAATTCCCATTCTAATAAGGAACATTCAGGCTAACTAAAACTATACTAAGTATATTATATCTACATTAAACATTTATTTATCTCAACTCTATAATCCACTGAATTTTTTAAAAACTTAACACATTAAACATAATAACATGTAAACTATGAATAACGAATCATTAATAAATCAACTGTAATTCTTTGCTTTACCTACAGAATTCATGCCAAAAATATTCGAAAAAAAAATTTCATAGCAAATACTCTATGTATCCATAATGGATTGATCACTGGGTGGTGAGCAATGTCATATGTGTCATGTCCATCTAAGTTCAGATCGAATTCTGTCGACCAAGTTGTATTGTGGCCACTAGTCTAAGTGACTCGACATTACGTGTACTATATTGAGATGAGATGGTGATTCGAGTTAGTCTACAGGAAACCTTGGATCTAGGTTTCGTGCTACTTGGCACTTAACACATTACACATAATAACATGTGAAATATAAATAAATAATCATTAATAAATCAACTGTAATTCTTTACTTTACTTACAGAATTCATGCCAAAAATATTTTGAAAAAAGGAAATAAACAAAAAAGAATATTTCATAACTTACCTTTCCAATATGGTGATAAAATTAAACCAACCCCTAATGTACAAATTGCCAATATAATTGTAATTAAAAAACATAATAATCGAAAAATGGACATGGTATGTATGTATGTTTTGTTTCTTTTTTCTTTTTTTCTTTTTTTTTTTGAGAAACAATATGTAACAAAATCAAAAGAATTAAATTTCTTGTCGTTTTTCTTTCTTTTTTATTTTTCTTTCTTTTTACTTTTCTTTCCTTTTCTTTTTTCTTTTTATTTTTCTCCCTTTCTTATCATAAATTTATAGAATATTGAAAATTGTTTAATAACATTCAAATTTTGAAAATGTTTAGCCAGAGTTCATGGAAATTATGATTTGTTTAGTTTTACTTCTTTTTTTCTCTTTTTTCTTTTCTTTATTTTTACAACAGTTTCTATGGATATTTAACCTCCATTGAAATATTTATATATATATATTTACTATGCAAAATTTATGCAAAACAGTTGTCAATGATGTTCTTTTAAAAAAAGAAAAAAAATTAATGGTTGTCTGTGTTGTTTGTTTTTCTATTGGTGAAAAACTAAATGAGTAGTTGAGTGCATATGACCTTGAGGGGAAAAATCGAAATGCTTTTTGTGTAAAAAAATATATATATAGACGATATTCATTGATTATTTTCGAAATAAATTGTGACTTGAAATTTGAACTCTGGTTGCATGTTTTTGCACTACTGTTTTCGATATAATAAGTAGTGCTGAAACATACTTCGGATATATTCAAATACTGATAGCTAGCAAATACTATATGTAGCCATAATGGATTGATCACCAGGTGGTGATCAATGTCATATGTGTCATGTTCTCCTAAATTCAGATCGAATTCTATCGACCAAGTAACATTGTGGTCACTAGTTTAAGTGACTCGACATCACATGTATTATATTGAGATGAGATGATGATCGGAATTAGTCTACAGGAAACCTTGGATCAAGGTTTCGTGCTATTTAGCACTCGTCAGCAAAGTGTAACTGTCATCTTATGGGAATTGATGCTCCCTGACAGACTCGATCCTGTATCACCCAGTATCACAATCGGAGACTTTAACACTGAGTTATCCGGACCACGACTGACGTCCTGTAGCACTGAGATGTATTTACAATTGATTGATCAGTGGGTCGGACCTGACACACATGACATTGATCACTATTTCCTTAAAACAAATGAAAATTCAGAAGCAAACTAAATTTATTTGAGTTACGCATATTTTGTAAATTCATCGTTTTGTAGTGATAGAGAAGTTATCATACTCTAGAATTTCAGTATGCAGGAGTAAAGCTTCTGTGTGTGAAAGCATGTCATGCTACTGACTAGTGTGTAGACAGAAACGGATTTCGGTAGTAAACTGACACACGACTGGCAACGAATTAATTATTGCAATATCCCATTCCTCAACGGACACTCCAGTCACACAGGAATAAAACGCGGAAATCAAAAGACATCAAGACTTAGCCTGACATTTGATGGATTATTATTTGGAAAAGATAATTTCACTTCAATACAAATATACAAATTAGGCGATTTCCACCGGTGTACAGTAGTGATATGTGATATGTGAAATGTTAAAAAAGACAGTTGCAAAAATGATTGATTTCGGAAGCCAACTATTCCTCATGCTGTTCTGTACGGTGAGCGTCCAACGTAATTGCCGCTGAAATCGGGTAAGAAAAATAAAACGTTAGTAAGTTCATTAAGACGATGAGACAAATTTCATCAGTGATTTTCTCATGTTCATTTATTATTATCATTGAAGTTGGAACATCGACACGTATTCACACTCGTTACAATGAAAATCAACCATTGTTGATGATATTCATGAAACTACTTGTGGATATCAGTAGTCAGATTACACGTAGAAATTTGAAAGGAGATATTGATCATGTCAAAGTCTGTGTAATACTAGTAATGAAAAATCCATTCTGATATTCATGCGAATTCAAGTATTTGTAAAATATAGTGAAATTCATATTCAAAAGTGTTTGTTTTGATCACTGATTCATTGTCGATTCCGTTACTATTCGGTTACATGGCAAGCGTAACTACAACAGATGAAATGTGATTTACGTTGGTTTAAACATTCAACAGTGATCTATATTGATCGTCACGAAAGTAGGCATTAGTTGTCACGGAGTTAAAAATGCCAGGCAATAATTTTCAGGATAGCAAGTGTTTATTTAAGTAGCAACGAGAGTTTGAGCTGATGAATAGAAAATAGAGCGTATCAGTAATATTGGTAAACAACAGCCGAATTGAACTCCACTACAAACAACATCCGATCATGAAGAAAGTATGCAGAACGGAGTCATAATGGAGGAGCAGGTCACAAATCATTTAAGTAAATGAAAATGATCTTATTAATGACTTACCCGGGACCATAGTTACACACGATGCTGAGTCCGTATGGGAAATTCGGACAGTTCGTGACACCACATCCAACATCCGTAGTGTCTTCCCAGACAAGCTGAAATGAACCAAGTGACAGTGAGCTATTGAATAGTGTATTGGAAGAGGACACATTCATATAAATCGTTCACTTAAATCAACAACAGTCTAAGATCACAACGATGTGGAAGTCGTGATTCGTTGGGCAGAGTGTAGACCATTCTAACACAGACAAGAAGCGTGCTAACGAGGACTGGAACATTTCCAATTTTTGTGTATGTGACAACGGATAGTTGGATACTACACGTAGCCATGTTAGACGGTTTCATGAATCGACCACAATATCACTAGTCAGTGTCTATACAACTTTGTCTGAAGTAGTTATTTTAACAAGAATGCTTTGTAATCGTTCTAATGCTTACCTGAGTATAATGACCACACTGACCCATACGACATGTTCTTGTGTAGAAGTCGTAATTCTTGTATTCATCCAACCATAATTGGAATCCGCTTGATAGAAATGAACAAACAATAGCAATCAATCGAAACATGAATCCGAACATTTGGAAAAATGAACAGTCAATCACAAGAGTATTATCACATGTTTAGTTGAGGAGGAGAAGAAGGATCTCACTGCACAGGTGTAGGTGTGAACGTCGATGAATATCACGAAGAAACCACACACTGATTGACTGTGGTGATGCCCATCCACTGTGAATATCTGATTAAGTAATAATGGTAAATGAGATATTTGACTATTAACAGTTTCTCGATTGCACACAGATGTGGGTGCATCTTCGACAAGCATGTGAACATGTGGATGTGAGATCCAGCCTATCTCAACACACTAACCACATCATTACAGTGTTTAGTTGAAGTGAATTTTCGATGAGTTGAACTGAGTGACATCGGTCTGTGGTTACACTCGTTACAATCAGTTCAAGATTCCGATGCAACCACTTGTTGAGTTTCACACTAATCACTTCTGTTCATCTCACAATCGTCCTCAATATTTCCTCACTCATCTATCATTGACACACAGACCTTCCGAACCACATCGTCGAGTGTGGAGTGACAGGTGGCATGGTTCACAAATGTGTGTTCCTAAAATTTTGTGGTATTTGGAGTGACGTTTCGTAGTTGGTTTGCATCGAGTATGCGTTCACAGATTGGCTAGAAAGCAACAGTCTGAAAAGAAGTAGGTGTGCATCTGATGACGGCGTATGTCGATTAGATCGATATAACACTTCTGCGAATGCAGACTACATGCTTGCAAGTCTACGAGTTGAACAAATTCATATATTTAACACAATGCACATGACACTTACGTGTTTATGTCTTTCGCACCGGCCCAATTCTGTCCAACATATTGGAATGCCGGTATTTTACGATCATCATTTGTATCATGTCCAACACGACATTGATCAGACAGAATTTGTGCTTTCGCTTCCAATTCCACATTCCATTTCTGTAAACATGTGGTTAATCAATGAGCAAATCAAACGGTTAATTGATCAATTAATAATGTAACTATTGCCTTATTTACTTAAAATCGATTAGGCGAATGAAGTGGTATCGAATGTCACTCGTTGTCATCAGTGCCGTCACGTCGACGTGATATAATTAGGAGATTTCTATTTTTTCACTAGTTAGTCAGAACCTGCGAAAAATTCTTCATCTCTGATGAATTCACGCGAACCATGTGAACGAAGTTCGTTCGCCTATACGCACTATTCTCATCAAACTACACATCACTAACCACACTCACTCAAAACAAACAAATGCACAGTTAAGAACACTGTCTACAATCACACAATGATTTCAACCAGTGAGCTATCTACTCTACAACACATTACACTAATAACCTCATTTGAGTGGCCAAGAAACTGCTACCTGCAGTCAGCCACAATCAACCAATCAACCGAACAACTTCTCCCTCCCTCCTTCTCTCTCTCTCTCTCTCTCTCGCATCATCACACCATGTTCACAGTGAGACCAGCTGAAACGTACACTGAAATCAATTTGTCTCAATCAAAACATAATTGCGCTGAACACTCAAGTTAAACAATCATTCTTCTTACCAGTGGTTTTATGGAGACTGCTATCGGTTGCCCAACAAGCTGACCATATTGAACAGATTGTCTTGCCTTATTGTGAAGAGCTAACAACTCATTCCTCATCGCATCATCCAACTGCGCATGAACACAGCAACAGACAAGTGAACACAGCAACAACACGACTGATGAAAACTCGGAATTAGAAGACATTTCGATGAGACCAGAATTTCACTGTCTGTCTGACTTACGAAAAATCACTTGTTGGCTTTCACATATATATACACACCATGGGATCAGGTTAATCAACATAAGTCATGGTGATTAAACCAACCACTCATAAGTGTCAATTTGTCTTATTAATGTAGGATTATATTTGTGCAGAATAATAATCAGTTGTGTAATCAGTTATGAATGAGTAGGGCTAAAGGGTGGTGTCTACACAAGATGGTGGTATTGAGAAAATTTTCATTGAAGTTTACTCACAGCGTTTTTACACTGTGAGTGGAAATGACTATCGGTTTGTGGGATTATGATTCACGAGTGACTCATGCTTCTGGAACAAATACAACAACGTCTGATAATTCCACGAAATTGTAATCAGATTTTGTTATATTGTAATTAAGGCTGCATAGTGTGTGAGACGAGCATTTGTGTGGAGTGACGTGTTCTGTCGTTTGTAGTCGATATCAGGTGATAACATGTGTAGTTTGCGTTGATGACTGCTGACTGACTCGTCTAGTTCGATGCATGGATCGTGATACGATTTGAGAGCCTCACCAACCACCTTTCTCTCAGTGATGTCGATCGAATGAGATGTGTCGAAGTGAATTGGTGTCCTCGTGGATGAATGGAGAGTAAAATCGATCAACACGGTTGAATGTGAACATGAAATCATTCTCATGCATATGGTAGTTTAGGGAATGAGTTGTGATTCACCTTCCATTTTTTAGTGTTCGTTTCACATGTCATAAATTTCCGATGAGATGTGGCATCGGAATTCGATGATGATTTCCACTGAATATGTGTTGATTGCAGTACGTGTTGAAGATATTGCTTTCAGGCATTTTGAATGTTAATGGATTGCAAACTGATATGGAATTGATTTTCTTTATCATTGCACCATCTCGTTTAATCGACAATTCACTTTGTATTTTATAATTGTGACAGTCTTCTGGTTTACTACTTACAATGGATAAAAGATGAGCAACTGTTATTTTAGAGACTCGAAGTAAGGTCACAAATACTTTTATAGTCGATTATCTCTTCACCACAAAACACGCTAGACGACCGTTGTCCAATATGCACTCCTTCATATGTCTAATGACTTTCACACAAATCTTATTTTTAGTTATAAAAATTTCATATTGATGGAATTATAATCAAATCAAATGTTGCATGATATGCTGAAAATGGTTCCCTTTGATTCAGTTCGATGTATACCATGACTTGAATCAACATCATACTGAATAAATCAACTTGATGCCGAATGGAACATCACATCAGAAATCAACCAAACATAACACTGAATATTCATCACATTGAATTGAAACAGAAGTAATGTTGAAGAGGAATATCAATGAGATGAGAGTGTAATTTTGTCTTTTCATCTGGTCATATCAGTATGAAAGTGGTAGAAGTGGATTGATGAATAAATGTTATGATAACTAAGTTAATCATTTATACTACAGTTATAGTCTGTAATAACATCGGAGATAGATTTTGAAGTCAGTTGCTCCACGTAACTTTGCCTTAATTAAAGTCCCAACAATATGGAAATATAAGATGAATTCTTTTGAAAATAAGTTCGCTGATTTATCATACATTCACGTATACTTTATGGTGGTAATAAGATTTTACTAATTTGGTCACAGGAAAACCATCTGATAGTTCGTGTATATAAGCTAACACGTGACTGAGATGGATAGTGTGCTGTTATGTGCTGTCTGTCTGACTGGGCTGAACTGAACTGAACTGAATAATTGTAACATATCATTAGGTGTATACCAGTGTGATATGCACTGGTGGATGGCATTTATTTTTCGTAGTCACGGTGCGAGTATACCGATAGTTGATGCAGTACCTCGAAATCTATTAGAACTTGATTTAGTTCAAGAATGGAAACGGAAAGAATTCCTAATTTCCTGATTTACATTCATTCAGTATCGTGCGTGTAAACGTTTCTACTTATGTTTATTTGTTGTACATATAATTGATATATACATTATTAAACACTGGTTAACATAATTCGTTCTTTGTAATCTACAAATCACGGCTACTCAGTATATGTGCACTTGTTCTCTTGTTATTGCTCACTGATTCGCATCAACCTGATCATGACGGAAAACAAGTTACATTCTGCATCCATTGGAAAACTGTAATATAATTTTGAATGTATGATATTTCTAAGTATATAATAGTTCATAACATAATAATAATTCCAACGTTTCAAGTTTTGCTGAAGCAATAATTCAACAAACGATTGTTTTACATTTTGTTGCCCGCTAACAGTTCATTTCGATGAGGGTTCCATGAAAAATTGTCCTAAACTTCTATCTTCACTGCAACAACCGTCTGTGTCATCACAGTTGAGCCGATCAACAAAGGTTGATCAAGTTCGGAAGCTTATTAATTAGATAGTTTTCAGTAAATTCAGTAGCCGCATGGACTCCAGCAGACACGCACAAGTACAGATTCATTAAAAATTTGGTCATTAGTAGAATAAGCTGTTGAATGTTAAATTATCGATTAAACAAGGTCATGAGATGTGACGGAAAATCACTTCAACATCACTGTTTCATATCATCGATTTGCAATCCCTTAACACGCACAATGTGAGAAAGCAATATCTTCAACACGTACTGCAATCAACACATATTCAGTGGAAATCATCATCGAATTCCGATGCCACATCTCATCGGAAATTTATGACATGTGAAACGAACACTAAAAAATGGAAGGTGAATCACAACTCATTCCCTAAACTACCATATGCATGAGAATGATTTCATGTTCACATTCAACCGTGTTGATCGATTTTACTCTCCATTCATCCACGAGGACACCAATTCACTTCGACACATCTCATTCGATCGACATCACTGAGAGAAAGGTGGTTGGTGAGGCTCTCAAATCGTATCACGATCCATGCATCGAACTAGACGAGTCAGTCAGCAGTCATCAACGCAAACTACACATGTTATCACCTGATATCGACTACAAACGACAGAACACGTCACTCCACACAAATGCTCGTCTCACACACTATGCAGCCTTAATTACAATATAACAAAATCTGATTACAATTTCGTGGAATTATCAGACGTTGTTGTATTTGTTCCAGAAGCATGAGTCACTCGTGAATCATAATCCCACAAACCGATAGTCATTTCCACTCACAGTGTAAAAACGCTGTGAGTAAACTTCAATGAAAATTTTCTCAATACCACCATCTTGTGTAGACACCACCCTTTAGCCCTACTCATTCATAACTGATTACACAACTGATTATTATTCTGCACAAATATAATCCTACATTAATAAGACAAATTGACACTTATGAGTGGTTGGTTTAATCACCATGACTTATGTTGATTAACCTGATCCCATGGTGTGTATATATATGTGAAAGCCAACAAGTGATTTTTCGTAAGTCAGACAGACAGTGAAATTCTGGTCTCATCGAAATGTCTTCTAATTCCGAGTTTTCATCAGTCGTGTTGTTGCTGTGTTCACTTGTCTGTTGCTGTGTTCATGCGCAGTTGGATGATGCGATGAGGAATGAGTTGTTAGCTCTTCACAATAAGGCAAGACAATCTGTTCAATATGGTCAGCTTGTTGGGCAACCGATAGCAGTCTCCATAAAACCACTGGTAAGAAGAATGATTGTTTAACTTGAGTGTTCAGCGCAATTATGTTTTGATTGAGACAAATTGATTTCAGTGTACGTTTCAGCTGGTCTCACTGTGAACATGGTGTGATGATGCGAGAGAGAGAGAGAGAGAGAGAAGGAGGGAGGGAGAAGTTGTTCGGTTGATTGGTTGATTGTGGCTGACTGCAGGTAGCAGTTTCTTGGCCACTCAAATGAGGTTATTAGTGTAATGTGTTGTAGAGTAGATAGCTCACTGGTTGAAATCATTGTGTGATTGTAGACAGTGTTCTTAACTGTGCATTTGTTTGTTTTGAGTGAGTGTGGTTAGTGATGTGTAGTTTGATGAGAATAGTGCGTATAGGCGAACGAACTTCGTTCACATGGTTCGCGTGAATTCATCAGAGATGAAGAATTTTTCGCAGGTTCTGACTAACTAGTGAAAAAATAGAAATCTCCTAATTATATCACGTCGACGTGACGGCACTGATGACAACGAGTGACATTCGATACCACTTCATTCGCCTAATCGATTTTAAGTAAATAAGGCAATAGTTACATTATTAATTGATCAATTAACCGTTTGATTTGCTCATTGATTAACCATATGTTTACAGAAATGGAATGTGGAATTGGAAGCGAAAGCACAAATTCTGTCTGATCAATGTCGTGTTGGACATGATACAAATGATGATCGTAAAATACCGGCATTCCAATATGTTGGACAGAATTGGGCCGGTGCGAAAGACATAAACACGTAAGTGTCATGTGCATTGTGTTAAATATATGAATTTGTTCAACTCGTAGACTTGCAAGCATGTAGTCTGCATTCGCAGAAGTGTTATATCGATCTAATCGACATACGCCGTCATCAGATGCACACCTACTTCTTTTCAGACTGTTGCTTTCTAGCCAATCTGTGAACGCATACTCGATGCAAACCAACTACGAAACGTCACTCCAAATACCACAAAATTTTAGGAACACACATTTGTGAACCATGCCACCTGTCACTCCACACTCGACGATGTGGTTCGGAAGGTCTGTGTGTCAATGATAGATGAGTGAGGAAATATTGAGGACGATTGTGAGATGAACAGAAGTGATTAGTGTGAAACTCAACAAGTGGTTGCATCGGAATCTTGAACTGATTGTAACGAGTGTAACCACAGACCGATGTCACTCAGTTCAACTCATCGAAAATTCACTTCAACTAAACACTGTAATGATGTGGTTAGTGTGTTGAGATAGGCTGGATCTCACATCCACATGTTCACATGCTTGTCGAAGATGCACCCACATCTGTGTGCAATCGAGAAACTGTTAATAGTCAAATATCTCATTTACCATTATTACTTAATCAGATATTCACAGTGGATGGGCATCACCACAGTCAATCAGTGTGTGGTTTCTTCGTGATATTCATCGACGTTCACACCTACACCTGTGCAGTGAGATCCTTCTTCTCCTCCTCAAATAAACATGTGATAATACTCTTGTGATTGACTGTTCATTTTTCCAAATGTTCGGATTCATGTTTCGATTGATTGCTATTGTTTGTTCATTTCTATCAAGCGGATTCCAATTATGGTTGGATGAATACAAGAATTACGACTTCTACACAAGAACATGTCGTATGGGTCAGTGTGGTCATTATACTCAGGTAAGCATTAGAACGATTACAAAGCATTCTTGTTAAAATAACTACTTCAGACAAAGTTGTATAGACACTGACTAGTGATATTGTGGTCGATTCATGAAACCGTCTAACATGGCTACGTGTAGTATCCAACTATCCGTTGTCACATACACAAAAATTGGAAATGTTCCAGTCCTCGTTAGCACGCTTCTTGTCTGTGTTAGAATGGTCTACACTCTGCCCAACGAATCACGACTTCCACATCGTTGTGATCTTAGACTGTTGTTGATTTAAGTGAACGATTTATATGAATGTGTCCTCTTCCAATACACTATTCAATAGCTCACTGTCACTTGGTTCATTTCAGCTTGTCTGGGAAGACACTACGGATGTTGGATGTGGTGTCACGAACTGTCCGAATTTCCCATACGGACTCAGCATCGTGTGTAACTATGGTCCTGGGTAAGTCATTAATAAGATCATTTTCATTTACTTAAATGATTTGTGACCTGCTCCTCCATTATGACTCCGTTCTGCATACTTTCTTCATGATCGGATGTTGTTTGTAGTGGAGTTCAATTTGGCTGTTGTTTACCAATATTACTGATACGCTCTATTTTCTATTCATCAGCTCAAACTCTCGTTGCTACTTAAATAAACACTTGCTATCCTGAAAATTATTGCCTGGCATTTTTAACTCCGTGACAACTAATGCCTACTTTCGTGACGATCAATATAGATCACTGTTGAATGTTTAAACCAACGTAAATCACATTTCATCTGTTGTAGTTACGCTTGCCATGTAACCGAATAGTAACGGAATCGACAATGAATCAGTGATCAAAACAAACACTTTTGAATATGAATTTCACTATATTTTACAAATACTTGAATTCGCATGAATATCAGAATGGATTTTTCATTACTAGTATTACACAGACTTTGACATGATCAATATCTCCTTTCAAATTTCTACGTGTAATCTGACTACTGATATCCACAAGTAGTTTCATGAATATCATCAACAATGGTTGATTTTCATTGTAACGAGTGTGAATACGTGTCGATGTTCCAACTTCAATGATAATAATAAATGAACATGAGAAAATCACTGATGAACTTTGTCTCATCGTCTTAATGAACTTATTAACGTTTCATTTTTCTTACCCGATTTCAGCGGCAATTACGTTGGACGCTCACCGTACAGAACAGCATGAGGAATAGTTGGCTTCCGAAATCAATCATTTTTGCAACTGTCTTTTTTAACATTTCACATATCACATATCACTACTGTACACCGGTGGAAATCGCCTAATTTGTATATTTGTATTGAAGTGAAATTATCTTTTCCAAATAATAATCCATCAAATGTCAGGCTAAGTCTTGATGTCTTTTGATTTCCGCGTTTGATTCCTGTGTGACCGGAGTGTCCGTTGAGGAATGGGATATTGCAATAATTAATTCGTTGCCAGTCGTGTGTCAGTTTACTACCGAAATCCGTTTCTGTCTACACACTAGTCAGTAGCATGACATGCTTTCACACACAGAAGCTTTACTCCTGCATGCTGAAATTCTAGAGTATGATAACTTCTCTATCACTACAAAACGATGAATTTACAAAATATGCGTAACTCAAATAAATTTAGTTTGCTTCTGAATTTTCATTTGTTTTAAGGAAATAGTGATCAATGTCATGTGTGTCAGGTCCGACCCACTGATCAATCAATTGTAAATACATCTCAGTGCTACAGGACGTCAGTCGTGGTCCGGATAACTCAGTGTTAAAGTCTCCGATTGTGATACTGGGTGATACAGGATCGAGTCTGTCAGGGAGCATCAATTCCCATAAGATGACAGTTACACTTTGCTGACGAGTGCCAAATAGCACGAAACCTAGATCCAAGGTTTCCTGTAGACAATCTTCAACCACTATCCGATCTCAACATAATGAGATTGATTTCTTTTATTTATCATTATACATGAACAGTGTATTTCAAAATATCTTCAGAGTTCCTGTCAGCTTAGGATTATCACATTTTAGATTGGATAGGACACTGATGACATAGATAACTTAAGTGAAAAATTGTTTTTACTTTCAATGAAATCTGAAAGTAAACAAGTTGAGAGAATTAGTGTTTTTTATGATTAGTGGAGTTTATTACTAATAGTGTTTTTAAAACGGCTTTGCACCTTATCGACGTGAAGGTTAAAACGTTTACTGACTAAATTTCATCAATAGTAACTGAACTTTGACAAGATTTTGTGATCGTCAGTAAATTCTTTACAATCTACGATTGTGCATATTTTAGTAAAACGATGTCTCAACTTTGGGATTCAGATACCTCCTGTTAATCAGATCCAAATAGGAAAAAAAAATCATGTCGTGCTTTTTATCACTAGTAACGGTCCAGATTCACTATAGCACACTGCCTTACAAACTCTGTAGTTTTATAATCAGTAGTATACAAACTACTGTCTGTTAAGCATTGCTTTTAAACACATCAAATTAGAGATGTAGTATTTTCAAACTACCATCAATTGTTTATCAACAAGTTTATACGTCAGCATTAACTAACTCGGGTTTAGTCTGTAGTGTCGTTAGTATGTTAAGCCCATATAGCTTGTTCTAGCTAGCTTCTGGACAGGCCAATTTATCCATTCTTCTGGAGTCACGTTTTGACCTTGTTAATTATTCACTTATCAACCCTTACTGTTTTTATAATATGGGCGTATGCTTGTGTACATCTTACTCTATTAATCACATATCTGTAGCTTATTTTTGTGTGACTATAAATATTGATTAACTCTTGATTAATTGGAGTTGGCTTACACGCCTCCTCCACCGCGAATCATTTTGTTTCACTGTCTTCTCTTTTCGCTTCGTTCCTTTGATTATCTGTCCAGATCAATCAGTGTACAAAATATATATATATTCGAAATTCATTCTCGTATTTGACTTATTTAATTCCGTTATCCACTAACGCGATGATTTTATACGAGGATTAGTGATATGTATATCTCATTAGCAATCAGAAACGATCAAACTGGATTCAGTTCCCATGCCACAAAAAGTCAACGGATTACTGCCAATAAATTGTAATCAAAATATTCTGAGTTTTGTTGACATTCATTTTCACTTAGTTTATATTTTTTAATCATGTCAATGATTAATTTAAGTTAATTCACGATCTAAATTATCATAAGCGTGAAGCACCTAAGTGCAAATGATAATAATGATCTAGTATTTATCATTAAATAAACTTTGGCTAATTTGACTAAACAAGAAAATGTATTTTACGCAGATTTTTCATTCGAACTATTCATAAAATCAATGTTTTAACTATTCAATATGTAGAAAGTAGAATGAAATGAGTAAAGATTAATCACTGCCTTTTTGAAGTATTTCGTGAAATATATGTGCTACACATAAAATGATGCTGCTTCAAAAAGAAGAACAAATTTGATATTCTCCAAATTATCATAATCAGTTCACTACTAACTTTATGAGATATCGAACATTTTATGTTATTTAACAGTAAGAATTCCAGTTGACAAAGTTTGTCTCAATGTTATTGTTGGAGACGTTAGATCCCCAGAACTCACTTGGGAAAGGACCTGTAGTAGTTTTATTTAGAAAATTTGAATTTCTTTGTTTTCGCACCAAAGGTGCTCTTGTCACCTTCATGTAGTATTTCCCACTGGGAAGTATCTTAAATGATATTGGCCCGTTTCGTCTTTTAGTATGCTATTTAGTAACTCTCCCCAAGGACGGTTTTGTACTGTATATATACGTTTTGAATTGTTTTTTGTCGTTATCGCTCGTTTCTGGCTGTTTGCAGAATATACTTGCCCATTCCAAGCTTGGACTTCTCCCTCTAGTTAGCGGGGATGGGACGCATCAAATAGCTAGCTTACTGGTCTTTGGTCACTGGGTCTTTGTTCTCGTTCGCAGATTAAGTGAACTTGTAGTGACTCACCATTTATCACGAGAACACGACTGGTTTAATAGAAACAATTCCTATTATAACCAACCGTACCAGTGTTTGTTTTAATGTGATTTGTTTAACTGTGTTAATGACAGCTACTTTGTGCTTCCATTCTTATACTCACACTTTGATTGTAACTTCGCACGAATTCGGTTACGTTCTGTAACCAAGCTTGTATCCTGGCACGATTTCGGTATCCTTTCGATACCACGAGATCGCCAGCAAATATATATCTCGATTTGGTTCATTAATTGTCTTCTGATATTTGGCTTCTCGGAGATTTTATAGGTTTCTTTGGTTACGTTCAGCCTACGCCTTCTGATTTATTTGGCACGTGTTTCTTGGTAGCGGTGTTCATAGTTAATCTCGACTGGACACCACGACAAAAAATCATGATAGCTTCAACCCTAGCAGTTATTGATCATAAATCCAAGTTCAAGAAAGCAACAATAATATGTTAGTAAAGTTCGTAGGGGTTGGTAACATATCAAGCCCATGTAGATTATTCTAGCTTCTGAACAGGCCAATTTATTCATTCTTCTCAAGCTACATCTTTGCCTTGTCACTTATTCGCTTATTAACCCTGACTGCTTTTTACATGATTGTATATGTGTTAATTACTTACTTTACTCATTACTTGTCTGTAACTTATTTTCGTTTGACTATAAATATCGAATCATGCTTGATTAAATCGAGTTGGCTCATACGCCATCTTTACTGTACGTCACTTTCCATCGTTTCGTTTCGTTCTCTCCCCTCCGTTTACTTTGCTTCTTCTCCCTGATTGTCTGTCTAGAAGGAAGATTGTATGAAATATATGTATTCGGAATTCATTCTCGCATATGTATATTAACTACTATTTCAAGTGTAATGTTTAGTTTTGTACGAATATTAAGGTTCTGAGAAGTTCTATTCATTTCAGATGACTAAATGATCAAATATTACGATATTTTTCTCATGTAACTTGTGTTACTGTCAGTTGTAGTTGTTTGTTTCTAGTTAATTGTAGTATGACTGTAATAATTTAAATCATTCTAG